AGGGATCACCAAAAGCCTGCAGAAGACACAGTAGCAGTGATAATCACTCCAATTACCCTATGAGTGATTCAATCCTACATTACACCTTCGTCATGGGTTATCTATAGTAGGTTATGGTATAGCCTGGATATTCTGGAACACCATGATGATCCCTGCATTTTGTTGAAGAAATGTCCCTCCTAGCCAGAATCACACATGATTTTCATACTGTCCAGTTGCATACCCAATCTTGTAATATACCTTCTCAATAGCATGTGCATCCTTTGGTTCATCTGATTTGATGAGGTCTTCCAAGTGCAAACAAAAATATCAGAAAATCAACGATTATATTCAAATCTGGCATTCTACAACTACATTTATAGCTATTCACACAGAACTTGCACATTCAGAAGGCACCACATATAGCCCTATTCCATGATGCAAAAGACCAAGCAAGATCACATAGCATGACTGAAAAAAAATCGGATCATGGTCGGGGCCACAGTGCCACCTGCATTCTTTTTGTGCGCCACTGTATGGGTCGTGATTATCACGTGCCCACGCGTGAGCGCGTTTAAGTTTCCCGCGCTCGACGCGACGTGTGTTCTTGCTTACCTACTACGTCGTAGACGGCGACGCTAAACCTCTACAATGGTCAAGAACGCTGTCGAGGACATCTTGAAGCTGGACATAGACGACCCAACAGACTTCTCCCACTCTTCACTGCAGTCGCTCGACAGCTCGCTTCGCTGTCTGATTTGTTCCAATCTCTTCGAAGGGCCTGTTGTCCTTCCCTGTGGACATTCTTTTTGTTCGCTCGTGCGTGTTCCAGTTTCGCCAGTCGGCCTCGGATCATGTATGTCTCAACTCCTTGAACCTGTTCCTGATTGCCGCAGTGTATACGTGGCGCGATGGCGGACAAGGCCCAGTGCCCTACATGTCGGAAGGAAGCCACAGAGTTCCATATCAAAGTAAATACATCATTGGAGGATGCTGTGGTAGCATGGTCCAACGCGAGGTGCGTTCTATCGCCTAACATCTTGTACTTAGGTTACACATCTTGAACGTCTCGTGCAGACCGTTAGTTCTCGAACTTTGTCAAGAGCAAGAAGAGGCTCGTGAGGCAGCTAAACGTACGAACGATCATCCAACCAACACTCGTCCATCGAAGAAACGAAGAGTCAACCCTGAAAACGACAGTATTCCCGGTCCATCTGCACTCACTAAACGATCGCAAGCTCCGTCTACTTCCAAGTCGAAGAATGACACCAAGGAGGTTTCTGATCCCGAACGTTCCTCAAGTTCGTCATCTTTTACGTTTCTAGTCATCTCTCTGCAACATTCTAATTTATGGACCCATCTGGCCATCATCGTCACAGCTCCCGAATGTGTTGACTGCCCAATGTGCCAGAAGTCTGTATTGCACTCAAAGATAAACGTACACATCGACAGTGGGTGCAAGACAGGAGCATCTTTAAGTCGGACTTCCTCTGGCTCTGGTGCCACTCTTGCTGCACCAAGAGCCGTCAAACGGGAGAGCGCTCAAAAGATGGAATGGGCGAAGCTTCTAGATGGCAGAGCCAAGATGAAGGGCAAGTGAGTCTAAACACAACTCATACGCATCCTATCCACAATGCTCTGACCACTACGTGGGAATGCAGAGACAAGGCAAAAGACGTCGTTGACTCCAATACTGTTCCTCTGCCCAAAGTCTCATACTCCATGCTGAAAGACAAACGCATCCGGGACTACCTCGCAGAATGGGATCTATCGACGACCGGGGACAAGAGCGCTCTTACGGCGAGACATCAACGGTATGGAACTCGCCACCATTATGACGTTTTCCCCGATCCGCTCTACTCACTGTTTCATCCTTCCCCGCGTCCTCTATGTTCCATTTTTACTTTATCCGTACCACAGATGGGTAATGATATACAACGCGAATCTCGACCGCGGGCCGACACAGCGAAAGCAAGTTCCAGAGTTGCGTGCGGAGATGAAGCGATGGGAAGATGAACGTAAAGCCGTTGCCACAGGGAGGAAAATGTCGGGTAAGGAGGCCGTGAAGGATACGGTTGAGTACCAGGTACGACCTTCATCCCGTTGCTGTCACTGATATAATCTAGACGCTTGGACGTCGAGCTTTGCTCCGTGCGGTCGTCGTACCTTGTGCTTCAGTTCATCGGCTGACTGGTGGTTTTGTCATTCCATCGATGCGAATACGAAACAGAGAGTACACAAGGCGGAATTCGATGCGCTGATCGCAAGGGCAAGACCTCAGAAATCAATACCGCCGATTTCTGCATCTGATTCCTCGACTCCGACTCCATCTACATCTGTACCTACTCCCCAACCCACTTCGTCGCCGCCGTCTTGGAGCCAGCAGCGGTCGAGTGTTACGCCGGAGGACGATGCGGAAATGAGGGAGGAGGCGGGCTCAAGGAGTGAGGCCATCGTCATCGATTCAGGAGATGACGAGGATGGGTAGTTCGAGAGGGTGGACTTGATCGCTTCCACGTAGAAGTGCAGCTTTCGAGCGTCTATCGTGTCCGTGATGGGTGTGTTATCGATTTGTCTAGTCTCATGTATCGCTTTGCTTCCTGCTATTACATACTAGCCTCTATGGGGCTGCTGGTAAATGTTCATACATAACAGTACACACTTCAAACGATCCAACCAGGAAACGATTATCCAAGGTAACCCGGTCGTCGCTATCAGTATATCCGTATAGGTAACTTCACTTTCATCTCATGGTCATCAAAAAGTACCGATGCCTCAACAAAGTACTAAAATACACAAACCCAACAAGAGCGTCAGATGTGCCAGTCTGGTCACGAGGCATAGCATACTTAGGCCGCACAAAAGACGTACCTGGACGCTCAACCCGGCCCAATCCATCGAAGGCAGCATCCCACCATTCAATCTCAACTCCCCTCTATACATTCCATCCGGCACGGCCATCGCCATGCTCATATCGCTCCTCCTCTTCCCCGGCATCTTACCCCGCTTCGTGAACCCCTCTGATGTATCCGACAATAACATCCTCACTTCGGACACCAACGAGACTTCACGCTCTTCGGGCGCTGAGATGGCGGAGTACATCGATTCGGTCTCATAGATCGTAGTACGGGCATCTTCGGCAGGTGGCGGCGGAGTTACCATACTTGCAGTTGAAGATGGTGGTCGTGGTGATGGGGCACGAAAGAGGATGAGCGGGGCACTATGCCGACGAACACCTAATTTCTCCTGCAGCATCTTCTCGCGACGCGTTCTATACAAACTCGACGAGGCATCCGACGTTCCGCTCTCGCTCTCAGGGGGGCTGAGCACAGTCGAGGACCTCGAGCTCCTGCTGGAGGATTCCGAGTCTCCGGAAGGAGGTGGGAGGTTGTCGGAGTCGAATTCGTGGGATGAGGAGGGAGGGGCGGGTGGAGGAGGAGCTGGGTCGACGGACCACTGGGGATGGGTGGTGTCGATGGTGAGTTCGCGGGTGAGGAAGATGCGGAGGATGGAAGTTGTGGCAAGGCGGCGAGTTAGAGCGGTGTCTTTGTGTGTGGATGGGACAGCGAAAATGATGTAGAAGGGGATGGAAGTGTTCCGTGGGAAGACGTGAAGGCGAGGGACGGTGAGCTGGAGAATAGGTGGTGAATAATGGTTAAGAGAGGCATAACGGGATGTATTTACCAAGCAATGATATGGCAGGCCTGATACATTGTCGTCGAGAAGAGGTATCTCAGACCAGGAATCTGGGGACGGGTTGAAGCTGACTTCCAAAGGATACTGCTCATCTGGGTGGATGAGAATAGGAACCTCGATGCTGCGTAACAATATTCAGATCAACTTCCACAGTGTTAAGAAATTGGATGCCTACCTTGCGTCCTCTTCGTCCTCATAGAAAGGCTCCCAGGAAGATATGAAACGATACGAAACTTCCATGTGATCAGTCGCGGTGCGTCCCCTAACGTCCACACCTGATGTCAAGAACGTAGTCAAACTCGGCGGCAACTCTGCCTGCGGCCTGCGAGGTTTCGGCATCCCAAATGTAAAAGCGAAATTGTGTTCGTCTATCTGCTTCAGAGAAGATAACGCCGACGACTTCTGAGTCTGGATCGAGACTCCCGAATCGCGAACTGAGGATATCATAGAGTGACCGCCGATATAGCTGCTGGTTCTGTTCGCTCGGAGATCCAAGTAGGCATGCGCAGAGTGAAAGACGTGGCGGTGACGGATTGATCCAGAGTGTAGTTCTGCGGGTGCATCTTCGAATACCATGTCCACCTTGGAGCAGATGTAAAGGAAAGATCCCTCAACCTAAGATAATACATTAGTCCTCGTTGGCAAAGGAAGTGAGATACGTTGCGATGATATTAACATGGACGTTCAATCTGCCTATAAGGGGACCAGGTTGTGGCGCAAAGGCGACAGTGCCTTGGATGGGTCCTTGGTCGTTATATACTGGAATCGGACTTGCATTGTCCTGATCCTTCCATTGGGACAGTTGAATAGAGGGACTTTCGAGAGTCAACGAGAGCTCTCCAGACCTAAGAATGGCAGACAGACACGAAGTTAGTAAACGAACAAACACGAAGTGCAGAGTCACAACCGTGCAATAGGGTTCGTTACCGAAAAGTAGATGTACGCGAATATTCTGGAAGAAGTACACTCGGAATCACAGGCCCAGGGGTCTTTGGCAAAGGTTTCTCCTTGAGGATCTTCGCAGACATCTTGCCAGTACTAGCGCCACTCGAAGCCTTGACTTTCACAGGCTCGGACTTGGTTCGAGCGTGCGAGCGGCTGGTGACCGTCTTGACGCCCATAGTGAGATTGTGTTTTCTGAGAGGATATCTTGGTGATATGTAGTTATATACCGCTGAGGATTGCACTTTTACAAGTAAGGGCCCAGATGATGGTTGGGAGCATATTTGGTTCAAGTTCATCTTGATCACGCCCTGTGCCTCGTGTATCGGAGTTCCATTTGGTGTGGCGTGGAGATTTGATGTGCACCGCCCTTGAACGATGTCAAAGAAATATTATGTACAGAAGGGAGAGGTATGAGCGGTGTACTTCCAGTGATTGAAAAACCGTCGAAGAGCTCGACTGCAGGGAGCAGCAAATACATTGTACATTGACTTCGTTTTTCCGGGTGAATACATGTTTAAGGCATCAAGCTTCAAGCACCACTGCACTCTTCAGTCGGTCCTACGTTCGTGGGGCACATCCTCAATGCATTCATTCTCTATGAGCCAAAGATCGCGGCGAAGGTGGTTCCCTTGTGGCTGTGGACGGTGTATGAGTATGTGTAGTAAATAGACCTCAACGTATATTTCGATGAGTCGCTTACCCCAAGTAGGCCAGGCCGGGATCATAGAAAGTGCTGGAGGAAAACGTTTAGTTGATACATTGACAATACAAAGGATATGATATGGCGTACATGTAACCTCTATCGCCTGGAATACCGAGTTGCTTCTCGAAGAAGGCAAACAGCGCTTTGCTGTATACTTCGTTTACCTTGGGCTCGATGTTATTGAGCGAAGTCTACCAAATGGACAGCGATTCTAAATCAAGAACTAGTCACATGGTGACTTATAAGGGATTTCTACTCACGATCTTCAGGAGGAAAGCGGGGTCGAAGGAACCGTTGAAGGTGAGGAATTCGGAATAGTTATATGCGACTGAGATGTACAGCTCGGGTTTTCCCAAGACTTCAGCAGCGACCTGCAGATTATACGAATTCCTCTTTCGTGAGAGGGGAGTCATTTTATCGAAGTAGGAGAACAAACCTTAGAGAACTCCAGGCTGAAAGCCTTCGGGTCGGAGACCTATCGATTAAGGGTTTTCGCGGTAAGTACATTGTTACGGATTTCTGAGATGGATGGTAGATCAGCCCATGCACCTTGACATTGGTGGTAAGTTCGAGAGCAGGCATGGTGGTGGTTTGTAAGACAGTTGCTCTGGTAGATGAAATGGGAAATTCGAGCTCAAGTCGAATGACGCCACGGGTCTCACGCGCTTTGCCAATCGATGCGCGATTCACCCATCGGCGAACGTCGGGATGGTCACGAAGCTAGTACTTCAGAAACGAGTCTGGGCCACATTTCGCCGCATTTTGTCTTGAGATTCGAGCGTTCATTGACATCCAGCACTTTTTATGTCTCAAAATCTGAGTTTACAACTATAAGAGTTGATTTGTCGGAGCATCAGCACCCTTGACCATCGGGTCAGCGATGCTGCACTGGAGGACACCCGAGAGCCAATTGCTTAGTTCAACCTCAAGTCGGCATCGCTTGCACTCGACGAGTAATAGTAAGGCCTCTAATACTATGGATGATTGAGTGACTTGAGACAAAACGGATGACAATGGATACTCACGGCCTACTTGTATTTAACCGCCGAAACGTTTCACACAAGCGTTAGCAGAGCGAAAATGATGATACAATACAGATGACACGGACTCCAGATTAGAGATACATCCTATCGTTGCGAGTACGGGGGCGAGCAATATTACAGGTCGAAGTCAGAGTCGCTGTCATCCGCTGTCCTAGCAGGGCCTCGGATATTCTTCATTGTATGGTTTGTGAATGTGCTTTTCGATCGCCTTGCACCATGGTCATCTTCGTCTTCACTCTCCTCCTCATCACTGTGAGTAGCCTTCTGTGGCCCATCGTCCACACCATGCGACTTCCCGGGAAACAGACGGGGTGACGGGACTATGGCTCCACAGAGGATGAGGAGAGCTTCCAGTTCTAGGACGCCACATATGAGCCACACTCTGTGTTCGAGTGAAATGCCCTCACCTTCCGCTTTACGCTCCTTGTCTGCAGCCCAGCTGACAATTTGGGTTCGAATTTCGCCACCGCGGTACACAATGAACATAGGGACCCTTGAGTCGGGAAGATTTGGGAGACATCTATCGCCTACGATGGAGACAAATTTTGTTCGCGGATGTTTTGCGGCAAGTGCTCGGACATGGACGTAGGTACGGTCGCTCCTGGGGATGCTGCATATAATATTCAGTTGCTGTAGGAAGCACACAAAAACAAAGGATAGGCGAGTATGCCTTCCTCTTAGATGAGAATCAGAACAAACATACCCATCCTTGTACAGGAAGCACACTACCCCTGTACCCCGGCCTTTGGCGGATCTTCTCCCTTCTCCGCTTGGATCATCCTCATCTTCCATATCCTCTTCATCTTCCTCGGCCTCATCCATGGGCTCGTCAACCTTACTGGCCTCCGTGACCTCCCTAGTATAATCATCCCTCCCGATAGGAATGACGCTCCCAAACCGTCCTGCCTTCTCCTCCTTCCTCATTTCCTTCATCATTCTCTCTCGATACTCACGTATTGCTTCTTCCGCATCGTCATCATTGATGTCGTCCGCAAGTTCTTCAAGTTCTCGAGATGAAAGGTTCATCGTAGAAAGCTTGTCATGAAGAGTTGGAGATGGGGGAGGTGAGGGTGATGGTGTGCGTGCTTTGAGGGGTGGAAGGATGCCATGTTTACGAAGAGCTTCATTGCTAGATAACAGTGCGGTATAAGTACAATGTGGATTGCGTAGATATTACGAAGGGTGAGAAGGCGAGCGATCCTCACCAACTTACAATTCTGTGTCTTCATTTGCGTTGATGGCCATTCTGGACAGATCTAAAAGTGAATGGATGCGGAGTCACGAAGCTCTTGGTTTTATGGAGTGAAATGCGACGCGCTAAGGCGATGTTCAGTGCTGCGAGAGGGTTGATGGAGGTAAAGGCACTGCGGCCCAGTGAGTTTGCAGTGAGTGACGGTCCACGGAAGAGATGCGAAGTCGAGTTGCCACAGCATTAGACAGCGGTGCCACAGAGCATACCCGGGCCTTGCCGGACCGCGCGTTTAAACCGGTCTTCAACGCGTCCATTTGCACCACGCACTTCCTTCCTTCCCTTCCTCCTCACACCTCTCGAAAGTATCGCACGATTATGTCAAGGCCACAGGACGATAGGAATCAAGAGGCTACGGTCTATTTGGTACGTCAAATTTGACGTACCAAACACTGAGATACTGACAGGCCAATGCCTCCCAGGGAAACCTGGATGAACGGTGCACTGACGCGCTCGTATGGGAGCTGATGTTACAGGCCGGTCCCGTCGGTGAGTACTTGAAGTCTATTCCACTACGGGCTGTCTTAACGCGAGAAACTATGTTTAGTCAATGTGCATTTACCCAAGGATCGTATTTCTATGGCACATCAAGGCTATGGTTTCTGCGAGTTCCTGACGGAGGATGATGCAGAGTACGCCTGTAAGATTATGAACCAGATCAAATTGTGGGGAAAACCTATCAGGGTGAACAAGGTTCGCTACACCGTTCTTTTAATCCGCGTTCATGTTCATTCTGCGGACTGTCGCTGACACATGCCTCCATTATTCAGGCTTCGTCTGACAAGAAGCAGCTCGACGTAGGCGCGAACCTCTTCATCGGCAACTTGGATGAGAACGTGGACGAGCGGTTACTGTATGATACATTCAGCGCATTTGGGGTAATGGCAACCACTGCTAAGGTGCGTTGTATCCCTTGTACTTGTACAACGTACTGCGTTCGATTGACCGTACAAATTTGCAGATTGCCCGTGACCCTCAAACAGGCCAGTCAAAAGGCTACGGATTCGTCGCATACACAGACTTCGAGTCGTCGGACGCAGCTGTCGAATCCATGAACGGCCAATTCCTCATGAATAAGGCTATCACCGTTCAATATGCCTTCAAAAAGGATGGCAAGGGGGAACGCCACGGAACTCCCGCTGAACGACTCCTCGCCGCTCAAGCCCGCAAAAACAACGCTCTTCCTGTCGCCGCTCGCCCACCACCTGCACCCATCGCCTTTGGCTCCCGTCCTCCCATGCCCGGAATGCAAGGCCCCTACCAAGGTCAATTCGCCGGTGCCCTCGCCCAACCACCTCCGCCACCTGGATTCACGCCACAGCAGACGATTATGCCTGGTGGCATGCCGATGCAGATGGCTGGAATGCCACCACCGCAGGGTATGCAGATGATGCAGCCTCCTATGGGAATGGGTATGCCTGGTATGGGAATGCCAGGTATGCCGCCACCACCTCCGCAGGGTATGCCAGTGTACCATCCAGGCCAGGGTTATCCACCGCCACCGCCCCCTGGGTTCAACCCGCAGGGTATGCCCATGCAGGGGATGACGCCTATGATGCCTCCACCACAGGGCGCGTACATGGGCTAACGAGTTTTGTTTGATTTCGCTCGATTTGTAATGCCAGTCGTAGTATGTATTTGTTTCCTATCGCATAATCTGTCCTTCTGATTCAATCAACGCGGTCTCCCGCCGCACGGAGGCATGTCCTCCGAAGTCTGGCTCTTTCTTGCACATTACAACCGCCTCTGGCATACTTTATGAGCCGTTGTACGCCTTGACATCAAGTTTCCCAAGCAATGTTCACTTGATCACACACAGTTATGTCGCATAAACCTATACGTTCCCAAGAGACTATCGCGCTTGCCAATGCTTGATATTCCGAACGAATCATCTTGCGTTTTGTCACGACTTGCTCCCGACCATCGTCGATGTTGTCGGCATAGAAACATACCCACATGGATGCCAAGCTTTACCGGCTCACCCCTGGTCAACCTCGGGTACAAATACCCGTCCAGTGAGAAGATTGTTTCTCCATCCCTTCGTTCCTTGTCTTTGTCGCTCTTTTTCACTCGACCTTCATTCACCCTTCGAGGACCGGTTTCCTCACCTTTGGACAAGCTCCTCTTCCTCGTCACACTCTCATTTACTTTGGACTGGTTCCTTCGCTCGTCTTCCTCTCCCTTCATCTCGGGTCACTTCGTAGTCAACTTGCTTGGGTCTTTACGTCGATTTTTTCTTGCGTGAATAACGAATATGCAGGGACTCTTCCGTGTCGTTAGTGCTGCCGTGTTCGTTGGGACATGGGCTTTGCTGTGTCTTGCTGGTATTTACTTCCCTTTATGTCTGAAACGCGTTATTAATGAACAAGCCATCTCCTGCTTTCCGTTCAGCTCCTACATCGAAGCGCCAGAATCCGTGCTTCATTACGGGGGACACTGCGCTTCCCGCAGAAGTGGCGGATACCGTCCCAGCGTTGGCCAAGGTCATTACTTGTGATACCTCTGTCAGTCGTTTTCTATGTGTCGTCGGACTGGTTTCCGATTCTAAATGATGTTTATTTTCGCTATTGCGGTGTGCTGTGTGGTATAGACGGAGGTGACGACTGGTGTGCCGGACGTGATTTCGGGCGGAATTGCCTACAGCTCGATTGACTTCCAGCAGTCCGATTTATCCCCTCTGAGCTTTGCTCTGTGAGTTCAGAATTCCATTGCCTCTTCACGCTCTCGCACTTCTCTCACTAATGCTTATATGCCCCGTTGCATTACAGCGCCACGTTCACGACCCCCACCGATCCCGCACAAGGGAACCTTACGGCGCTCCAGGATCAGTTGAACGACTATCTCGCTGTCGAAGCAGGCGTTCGCGTACGTACTGCAGCTAGTTGTTCTACTGGCAGATGTCACAAGTAGGGCGTGCACCACTGACTCTGCATTTCTTCATCATGGGGCGGACGGGCCACACTACAGTCGCAGTCGGGTACGACTATCTTGAACACCCTCAAAGTCCCGAAATTCTTCCTCCAGATGCAGGTCAGTCGCGTGAAAGCTGCTCAAGGCCAAACCTTGAGCGTCGCGGAGACAGTGGAGCATCAGTTGGGCAAGGTCGTGAAGGTCAGTCTCTCTTCCTTCGGGGGAAAATATGAGTCTTCAGTTGATTTGCTTTGCTTTGTCTTCGCAATCCTTCCATCCTTCACCATGGGTATATAGAACGCGCCACACGCAACTTCGGCAGAGCTTGCGCAAGTGTCGGCATTGGCTGCGCAGGCCTGAGCGGTGGCTTGTCTACGAAAGCGAAGGGATGTATAATTCGAGTGCAGTTCCGAAAGTATCGAGAGCTTGGAGGTTTTGTCTTGTTCTTTGGGTTATGGGTGTTTTGTTCGTTTCTCTGGGCGCAATTACTTATATTTGGGACGTCGTATCTCGAGGGAGAAACATATATTATCGGCATTACAACCAAAAAAAAAAAAAAGGATCCAACGCTCTGGTATACGCAACACGAGGCGGTAACATCAGCATAGCAACAGATAAAGTACAGAATAACAGAAAGCAAGATAATCGTGACCGGTCGTAAACGTTTGAACAGGAGCCACAGGATGTTGCTCTCGACATATGGGTGCGACGGGAGACGACATTCACTCTTCTTCGTCCACTGCTTCTTCTTCTTCTTCCTCTTCTTCCTCGGCGGCCTTTCCGCCTTTTTTGCCCTTGGCAGGAGGCTTGCTTCCCATGACAGTCGCGTTGATCCTGGAGAAAGCACGCGTGAGACAGAATGTCAGGACACAACCAAGAAACGAGACACTCACGACAGCATGACTTGAACCTTCTCCTTCTTTCCGCTCTCTGGATCTTCAACCTCGATGGTGATCCTCTTGCTGCCTTTCCAGCCGTAGCTTCCCGTCGAGAAAACCGCAGGTGTAAGCGCCGTGGTGCCAATGAAGCCCGGGTCAGCCTCAGCAGCAGGCTTGGTGTCCTTGTCTTCTGAGAGGGCGGGAGGGGTGTGTGTAACGTTCATATGAAGCGGCAAAGCGCGTGCTTTGAATTCGTCGCTCGTCAGAGTGGCCTATCAAAGCAAAATACAAAGTATGACGCGTCAGTTGGAGAGACTCGACGCGACTGTCGTCGATAATACTGGCAGCTTTGCGTACCTTGGGCCCTCCATTCTTCTTGCCCTTGGACTTGGGGCTCTCTTTGGCCTCCTTGGCTGGAGACGTGTCTCCGCCCTTGGTACGAGCAGATTTAGCATTGCCGCGCGTGGTGACGCCAGCCTCCTCAGAAGTACGCTTTTTGCCTGCGAAAGGGGATAACGATGAGCGCGTCTGCCTCCAGCCATACAGCAGATACGAAAGGATAGCGTACCGGCCATGATGGTTTACTGTTGTAAATAAGTTGTGGGTTGACGCAACGGTCGTGGATATAGAGACGCGCGTGGAGAGCAGAAAGGTTATAAGAGCACGAGGGAGTTGGTACAAGGATTTCTTGTATCGGCACAGAAGGAACAAAGCGTGTCAGTGTGGCAACGCGAGTGGTCCTTGGAAACGGACGCAAATGACGTCACGCGTTCGGATACTTCCTAATCGGTGGCGGTTCCACCTCTCCTCCTTTTCGGCTTGTCTTCCAACTCTTCGCACAACCTATATTTCCTCATAAAAATGGTTCTCAATCATCTGAGCACGGAATCAACCATGAAATCTCTGTGGTTTTGTCGCATTTATTTTTGCTGACGCTACTGGGGGCAGCATCACGGTCCGGAGATATCCGCTAGTACTAGTAATTCAGACGAGAAGTTGGACGTCCGCCACCAAGTTGTCCGCCACATGAATTAGAACTTTACGGTCCGCCTCTTGTATTTCTGCGCAATCTGCTGTATACTGCTCTCTCGTCGACTGTATTTTCTTCATGGCCACGACCACAATAACACCCGTCCGTCCTGTATCACCAGAGAATCTTGTACTACTCAGTCCAAATCCTGCTACTCCGAGTCAACTCTCTGCGATGCAACCCGACTGTATTACGACTTCTGGCGACATTACTCCTCGTCAATACCAAGAAGAGATCTTTATCCGTGCGCGACACTCCAACGTGATTGCTGTCCTGGGCACTGGGTCAGGAAAAACATACATTTCTATCTTGCTCATCAAATCTATAACATCTCAATCGCACCTATCCGCCGGGAAAATTGTTGTTTTCCTTGTACCTAAGGTACGATCTTGTACCCTGCGGTTACTTTTATGATCAATGGCTAATCTATAGATATTCTTACCCCCAGGTTCCCCTCGTCGAGCAGCAAAGCGTCTTCATCGAGAAACAATTACCGTCACTCAGAGTTCGAAAGGTACATGGCGGCGACGCTCTTGCCGGCGACATGCTCAACAGAGCAGAATGGAAGAAATTCTTTGACAGCGCCGATATCGTCGTTATGACAGGTGATTGCCTATTCGCACTATGATTGCACATAGGCACGACCAAGGCTGATATTAATGACAACAGCTCAAGTCTTTGTCAATGCGCTCACCCACTCGCACTGGAGTATAGACAAGGTAAGAAAGATCAAAATTTTGTGTTTGTACTATAACGCTGATTTGGCTTGTCTATCTCACTGGCTGATTATGGCGCCACATAAATATGACGTCTAGGTGTCTTTGCTTATATTCGACGAATGCCACCATACTCGCCTCAACCATCCATACAACGTCATAATGCGAGACTCGTACAAACACTGCTCACCGTCTCAGAGGCCCAAGATATTTGGAATGACGGCCAGTGTTGTATGGCGCCCCAGCCGCGCCCAGGAAGACCTTCAAGAGCTCGAAGCAAACCTCGTTGCGAAGGCCATCACTGTCCAAATGCATCACGAAGAGCTTGGGCACCATTCCCCCAAACCGAAGGAGGTCTGTGCACCGTTAATACCTCGAACTCTGCGGGGCGAAAAAGGTGTGGCGTCACTGACCCGGGATCAATAGACGCTCTGTGAATACCCCCTGCCTCCTGCCGAATACGTTGACTACCCCTACCCAAGAATCTACGATCGGCTAGAGATTGACATCAAAGCCGCCGGGTCCTATGCATTGCCAGTCGCCCCTCTTGATGATCCCGCCATTCCTTGGGCAATCGTTGACGCGCGCTACACGACCGCTCTGCGTAACTTGGGGCCCTACGCCGCCGAAACCTTCCTGTACAAAGACCTCAGTGACCGTTTGCGACAATTTATCCAACCTAGTCAAGCCGACGAAATGTCACGGCTCCGATCTCAGCTCCAGGCAATGCACACAGAGTCTTCCACTCCCGAGCAACTCCTACGTGATCCTGAGATGAGACAGATCTACGACCTGATCACCGAATATTCCCCTCTCTTCGAGATGCCTGGACCCGTCCACGGCAGTTCCATACCAAGCTCGGAGAATCAGTTCCCCCCTGGTTGGGTTTTTGATCTGTCGTGGTGCTCTCCCAAGGTCCACGTCCTAGTCGAGGTCTTACGAAATCAGTTCACACCCGCCTCTCAAGGCATAGTCTTTGTCGAGCAGCGACATGTCGCTTCCGGCTTAGCACGGTTGCTGTCGAAGGTGGATGAGTTGAAAGGAGTTGTGCGGTGCGCAGAGTTCGTTGGGCATGCCAGCGACACAGGAGAGGGAATGAAGGCGGGAGAACAAAACAGAGTCCTGGAATCGTTCAGAAAGCGTTCTATCAATTTGCGTGGGTGTTCGCCCCTTACTCGTGTTCTTCTCGATAATTCCATTCACACATGGTACCAGTAATCGCTACGCAGGTAGCTGAAGAGGGACTTGATTTTCCGGTAAGTGACGGATCCCATAGTGTTTCAATTACCAGCTTAATGTTTTCACTCTAATTACAGGCTTGCGACGTCGTAGTCCGTTTTGACTCCATTCAGCACCTTGTGGGGTTTGTCCAATCTCGGGGTCGGGCACGACATAAGGATTCCACATTCGTCATCATGGTCGAACAAGGAGATGAAACCGCAATCGAACGATACAAGAGGTTCGCCGAAATCGATTCCTTGAGCTCAGTCTCTTCGGCCTCAGCTGCCTCAGAAACGCCTACCAATCTCACGTCTATGCGTGGAATGGGCTCCGACGAAGACGACGAGCCGAACGAAGTCGATCTCGCTCAAAGAGAACGGTTCGTCGTTTCCGACACAAAAGCGGTCCTCTCCTACAACAACGCGATCGATCTACTGTCGCGCCTTTGCGCTCTTATACCTACCGATAACTTCACGCGGACGTACAAGCCAACGTACATTACCAACATCGCCCAGACGGGATACTATGTCTGCTCCTTGACTCTTCCCTCTGCCCTTCCTTTACCTCATGGACACCTGAAGTACACGGGCCCAGGAAAATGTTCCAAAAGAGAGGCTAAACGTGCCGTGGCGTTTCTTGCGGTGAAAGCACTGTACGGCTTGAACGTGTTCGATGAATATTTGCTTCCAGCGAGGAGTGTAAAAGATATGGAGCAGGATGCGGAGGAGTCCACGGGCGGAGCCGCTTACATCGATGTCAAGCAGATTCCACAGATGATGAACGTCGATGTTCGAGATCCCTTCGTCCTAGGCATCAAGATGTGGCTCCATACTGTCTATGTCGACGGCGAACGCGTGGCTGGTCTAGTCACCGGAACGCACCTTCCACAGGTCGAACTCTCTTGGGAAGGCACAGGTGTGCGGACAGGCGCTGTGGAGGCGGTTGCTTTCGATGCAGATCCTCTCAAGGAGGATAGGCAGCGACAAGTTCTGCAGGAGTTTATGGCATGGGGATTGTGGTGGTGTGTTACCACGCGACCTTTGGCGGGACCGTTGACTTGTTTCCTCGTCCCTCTGGTCCTACATGAAAACCAGCCTGACTTCGAGCTTATGGAGCGTATCGTAGCAATAGGCCTAGGTTGCTCCGACTGCACACAACTCAGCGAGAAGGACTTTGGTCGACTTTTGTGTACCAACCGATGGGAACACGGGCGGTCGTTCATACTTCATCGCATTCGATACGATCTAACGCCCTCATCAATGCTCCCAGAAGGCTCGATGGCGCGGGAGGCCGGTTTTACAACTTACGGGCAATGGCTCAGGGCGCGGTACAAACGGAAGAAATTTTCTGTCGTACTGAAGGACGACGAAGTACTCGTGGAGGCCCGCAGACTGAAGCTACAATGTTCTGGCATCTATCACCTTCATTCCCGACCGGACGACGCGGTGCCAATGGATGTCGACGACATCGACACCAACATCTTTCCTCTATCTTCCTGTCGGTGGACTGCAATTTCGACGTCGCTGTATCGCACGTTTGGGCTTCTTCCTCGACTTCTGCATCGTATCAACGACGTGTTTCGTGCCCAATCCGCGCAACTTGCGCTAGGCCTTCCGCCCATTAACACAGACCTGCTCATCGAGGCATATACTATTCCAGCTGCTCGTACAGGATGGAATAATCAGGTATGCACAGTATGCTCAGGTTTTATCCGACCGTGTTGCTTACATATGAGACCTTTGCAGCGTTTCGAAACTCTGGGTGATTCGGTTCTAAAGCTTTGCACGTCCGTTCATGTGTTCAACAAATATCCATGGCGGCACGAGGGCCAACTTTCCGTTCTGCGACAAGTTGCTATCTCGAACATGACGTTGCTCAGAAAGGCCAAAGCTGTATCGCTTGAGTCATTCCTGAATACGGAGTCGACGAGCAATGAAACGACTTGGCGATACTGCCTCCCTTCCGGCCCAGCACCTCACCACCCTTGTCATCCGGTAAAAGATACAGACCGTGTACCTCTACCGCCCCCATCTTCGCGACCAAGAAGGCTTGTACATCGGCGTTTCCCGCGACGGAGCCTGCAAGACTGCATGGAGGCTACATTGGGGGCAGCTTATGCTACGGGAGGTATCCCCATGGCCCTACAGGCGGGTACCGCATTGGGCTTGAATTTCGGAGGTTCCATTCCATGGCTTACACGATTCGGAAAGCAATGTGAATCCTCCGCCGAAAGACCTGGGGTACTATTCAACGTTCTGCAGGAGAGATTGGGATACACGTTTCGGAATCCAGAGTTGTTAGTGGAAGCAATGACCCACCCGTCGTTCGCTACGGGTGGTCAGTCTTACCAGTTAGTCCTTTTAAGCTTACGCGTGCCATTCGATGTTTCTCACCGAAGAGCATTCCCGCAGACGCCTAGAATTTCTGGGCGACGGTCAGTGTCTATTTGCGTTCTTTCTGCCCGGTAGGCATTGGCTAAAACCCTATGCTTATTTCCCCTAGCCGTGATCGACCTCACGGTCATGTCCTACTTATACAACAAATTTCCGAGCGCCACTTCGGGGAAACTTTCGACTGCTCGAGCACGAGCCGTCAGTGCCCCAGTCCTCTCTTCCATCGCAGTCAAGCACCTCGGTCTACACAAGCTTATGCTCGTGAACGAGACCAACCTTAGCATAGCTATGGGAAAATATCTACCGACCCTAGAGGAAACTTCTTACGAGGATATGGTGTTGAATGCCTGGGCGCACGATCCGCCGAAAGCCATCAGCGATGTCTTGGAGAGTCTTCTTGGGGCTGTCTTTGTGGACTCAGGGTGGAATTGGGACCTCGCGCAGGCCGTGACAGAGGGCGTTATGAACGACGTACTGGAGCTTCTCAGTCCTGATACCCCGAAGGATCCGGTGTCAGAGTTGATGGTATGGACGGCGAAGGCAGGATGTACTCGGATATGTCTTCGGTATGTTTTACCATTTCTCTCATCCACGTTCGTCAGCTCGGTGAACGATCGTTCATATCTTCGCCTTCTCAATAAATGTGCAGCAAGTCACGCAGTCGCGAGGACGCGCCTAGGAACGACACGATCAACGTTGTGGTGCATGATGTCGACGTATCTGGGCCATTCACTGCCTCCAGCATCGGTGTGGCGCGAGCTTTTGCGTCTGAGAGAGCTCGCCTCATTCTTCAGGATCTCGAGTCTCCCCACTCACTTCAACGAGTGTGCGCATGTAAACCGCCCTTGACCTCGCCAGATGCTGGAACTGCACCAGATACTGAGCCGCCTACGAACACTCTGGAATCGCCGGACCCTGACACAGAGGAGGGGTACACTGCGATTGCCAGAGAGAAATTGGAGAAATTTCAGGACCCTGAAGAGGAAGTGGAGCAAGATCGTGCCCAGTACGAGGAAGATATGAATCGTGAAGAAGAAGAGCAGGTTGAGAACATGATCATGGTCTACCACGGGGCAGACTAAAGGTCGTGGGCACGGGCCCAGGGTTATTCATTCAGGACGTTCGATTGTTTTTTACCTTACAACATGAAGTATCCCTATTTATCCTATCTGGTAGTCTCTGCTCATGAGGTCGGCATATTGTTGGCACAATGGCACAAGTGCCAGACAGCGACCTGCGCCCACTCGTGGAGAGTCTAATTTTGTATGACATTCAATGCCCTCACTCCGCCGTGTGACGGTGAGTCTCTCGTCTGGGCGGCGTTATTACGACCCATCGTATCGATTTGCTTTACACTTAGAACAGGAGGATGGCCTGCTACAGGAACACTGCTTGAGCAATCGCAGCGATGTTATCTCTCTTCCAGTTTCGCTCATACGTCCGCCTATCGACGCAGATGAGGGTTCACATTTTAACTTGCGCAAACTTGTGGCTCTACAAGTTAATTTGTCCCCGTTAACTTGCAAGTTCGCAAGCTCGCTTGGCTGTCAAACTTGTGTTCCCGAACTTGTATAACTTGTCACGCTTGTGAACTCCTCGAGATTATGAGGCGTTAATAGGTCCTTCTACCACTGTTATAGCACTTACCATACCCCGTTGGACATACCTACATGTGATCACGCGTTCGACTAGTTCACGTACACAATCGAGTGTACTCCAATGCATAGCTGGTCGTCTGTCTCGGTAGACATCACAAGTAAGGACCCGAATACTGTAGATGCTGCATCCGCGGACACATTAGTCAACCTAACAAATACCCGGACTGATGATGAGCTTTCCACTACTGGTGTTCACTAAATTATCACTTGTAGCATGTCAATAGCGATGACTTGGGCATCCCCAGTATCCAAGTACAACAAGACTTTTATAGCGACTAGATATACACTCAACGATCACATTTGGTTTGACAAACTAGGCTACCTCAGTTGACTTGCAAGTTAGCGTGCATGCTTTACAAGCTTGCTTGAAAACTTGGCCGTACAAGCTTGCTCAAGCTTGCGTTGCTGCAGTCATACAAGTTTGATAGAAGTGAGCACAAGTGCACCAAACACCATACCATAAGTTGATCGGTGTACTGAACGTAGCAGCGGAAAAGGTATTTCGGACGCATACCGACCAGGAAAACTAGAGTGAAGAGATGCGTACAACCGTACGCCGTTAAAGATCGAGATGACAAAAGACCAGTGTTTCTACCATGGTTGAACAAGAGGTCATAATGACTTCGAGTCTCCACTCAGTATAACCCGTACGTGTGAATTTTACCACTCTCAGGCTGATTGACCTCAACGGGAGGGCTATATCATCAATAGAAATCCCAAGGGTCCATCTTTGCAACGCCCCCTATCGCCATGCTGGGCATCTATAGCCCGTCGAGAAAAATCAAATCTTCGAGGGTACGTTCCAGCTACAGTGCTAGCTCGAGATATCATCGCGCAAAATGTCACGCAGTGGAGTTTTAAGCCCGCTATAACTGGTACAAAGTGATCGATGAGCGACTTGGAGTAGGAGCAACAAAGATTCACAGTTGAGATACACGTGAACGTGGGAAGAGGGAGAATAACAATGCAGCGCATACCAGGGGTAATACTTATGGGTGACATCGCTGGTGAGCTACATGGTTATCGAGGTTTATAGGAGCACAAGTGCGCCACAAGTGAGAGGTACGCAAGTGCCACAAGTTCGTTCCATTAAGTCATGCCCGATTTGGCAGGCAAGTCATGAGTACCGGCGTTCCCACCAAGCGTCATGTCCATTGCAAATTGGCGGACTTTGAAAGCTGCCGGGCAAGCCGCATCCCATTTCGACGCGGGCCACAGTAAGACTCACCGATTTGGCTGGGTGGCACCTATGTACGAGACCTTGCGCGTCTAGGGCAAGGTGCACCCCACCAGTAAATCCTGTAAATTCTAGTATATTATTTGACATACATTCACTTCGTTTGGTCGCGACAGAATGTTTTCACTCTCCTCGAGTGATTTGATATGAGCGTATGGTCTGTTGTGTAGCTCCTTCACGCCGAAATTAGAAAATTCTGTCGCGACCAAATTAAAGAAAAGTATTTTAGATGAATTTAGGCATAGCTATGTTGAGTGTCACTATGCACACTGTTGCCTTTGTTGTGTTGCAATGTTCGTAAGTGACAGCCTGCAGCCACTCGGCTACGGGAGTAAGCGAGACGCGGCACAGCGGAGTTTGAACCAGCACGCAATGGGTGAGTGCCGGTACTCACAAGTCAAGTTACAAGTTCGCGCCACAAGTTAAATTGCGCTGGCTCGACGCAGATTGGACGCAGGTGTGTGCTTTCGAACGGCCAATATTCCAAATTGGGGTATGCCACGAGGGAGACTGCCGTCAGCTGCGTCTGGAAACTGGCTGCCGCTTCTCAACCGTTCTACTCCCTTCCCTATTGGTGACTGTCCGACGTGGTACTTACCCGAGGCTGGCGCTCTGACACCACAGCTCTGACCGAGTGACATTTGCAGGCATTTGCTCTCTGAATTCGAGAGCCCTATTGGCCACTACTTACTCGCAAACTTTCATGTAATGCCAGTGGTTGCTCGATCCGTGCGTAGCGGCTTCGCACGACAGCCGACAGTGCTCGTTCTCTCCCTCGCTATCCTCTCATGCCGGTGGCCTGCGGGAGACACGCAGTTTCTCTCCAAACATCGTATCTCTCGGACCTTGCTTATCGAAGCCACACTCGTTTCAACATGCGCTGTGCATGTCTGCCGTCCCCTGTCTCGAAGCGCTTCCTTTCGTCTACGGTCGCGTATATATAGCCAAGAGACTGTGACCTGCTCAGGAGCAAGTCTCTGCCGAAGCCTCTCCACTACCCTCGCAGAGCTCATTTGAATGTATATTCCTTTCATATCAGAGCCTGTGGTAGCGGCGGACTTCTCCTCTATATCCCTTTCCATCCCTCCAGTCCTGGGTACTGCTTTCTCTCCGGCTACATGGTTATGGTTGTCTACTGTCTTCCACTCTGTTCGCTTTGCTTTCCTGTCAAGTTCAACGACAGCATCAGTCCCCCCTGCTTCTAGTCCGAACGACAACAGAGTTCTCATTCTCGGTGGCGGAGTGGCTGGACTCCATGCGGCACAGACACTTCACCAACAGGGTGTTGATGACTTCATCATCATTGAAGCCCGCACAGAACTAGGAGGCCGCATGAAGAACTTCACATTCGGTGCTTCTGGGAGAGAATATGTGCTAGAGGCGGGGGCGAACTGGATCCACGGCACGCAGACTGGAGATGGACCAACGAATCCCATCTACAAGCTGGCTCAGAAACACAATCTGACAATGCAGCTGAGTGATTATTTCGGGAGTATGAGTATGTCTCCGACATCCCGTCATCTTCGTATGGGAGCTGATAAGATGAAACAGCAACATATGATCACACGGGAGAAATCGACTATCTGGACGTCTTTCACGAAGCTGTGGACTCGTATGTCAAACTGACAGCTGGGGCCGGTGAGCGTCTCTTCGTAAACCTTTCTGTTTCACGCGCATGACGGCGCTCTCATAATCTTACGATAGGTGGTCGCGTGCCCGACGGCCTCGTCGATACGACATCTCGTATTGGGTGAGCTCCGTTCCCGCTCGTGCCCCCTCTGAGATAGCAGTCTGATATGAGCGCGCATATTAGTTATTCTCTCATTGGCGCGAAACCAAAGACACATCATGAGATGGCCGCTGAATATTATTCCTTCGACTGGGAATACGCAGAAAGCCCAGAGGAAACGTCGTGGATCGCATCATCCTGGGTAATGTCATCGATTTCTTCACGCCAGGGCCATTCTGGTTTCGACTCGTTCCGGGCCTCGTGTGGTTATACACTCACCGCCTCGCGTTCAGCGACCAAGAGTCGGTACTGGGCGACTGTATCTCGTCGACTTATGCTTCACATTAGGCAAACAACTTCACCTTCAATCCTGAGCAGGGCGGTTTCTCTGGTGATAATCTCATGTCGACTGATCAGCGAGGTTTCGGGAGTGTCCTCCTCGCAGAGGCCGCAGAGTTTCTCACTGAGGAGCAGCTCATGCTGGATTCTACAGTCGAAGTCATTCAGTATTCGGAAGACGGCGTGTCTATAACGCTCAATGATGGAAGCGTGCTAACGGCGGACTACGCCCTTGTGACCTTCAGTTTGGGCGTTCTGCAGAATGACGATTTGGTCTTCCAACCGGAGCTACCGGCCTGGAAGACAGAGGCAATTCATGGTATGACAATGGTAAGCGGTCCAAAGACTTGTACAACTTCTCCGCCTGATTATTTGTATGCCTTTCCTAGGGAACGTACACGAAGATTTTCCTCCAGTTCCCAGAGAAGTTTTGGTTTGACACTGAGGTAAGACTCGCATTGATTACGCCACTCGGTCATACGGAAATATTGTGCTCCCCCCAGTTTGCCCTTTATGCCGACGAATTCGAGCGAGGACGATACCCAGTCTGGCAAAGGTAGTCGGTTGTATTTCTGCTCGTCATGTGTACCTGCTCACCTCATCATTCCCTGCAGCCTCGACAACGAGAACTTCTTTCCTGGATCAGGCATTTTATTCGTCACAGTCACGGTATGTCTCGTCCTTTGTCTGTGCACACGTCTAATCGCCCACTTGACTTCATAGGGTCATTTCGCGAAGCGCATTGAACGCTATTCTGACGAGCAGGTCAAAGAGGAAGTTCTTGAAGTTCTGCGCTCGATGTACCCAAATGAGACAATACCCGAGCCGGACGCCTTCTATCTTCCTCGATGGAACAGTGATCCTCTGTACCGCGGAAGCTTCAGCAATTGGCCAGCCAGTCTGGTGACAGGGCATCACTTAAACCTTAGGGCCACGGTTGAGGATCGACTTTGGTTTGCAGGAGAGGCAACCAGCCAGAGATTCTTCGGTGGGTCTTTAGTATATTTCCTTCAGTACGTGGGTAGTAAGTTGACTCGTTGTATGACTAGGATATCTTCACGGTGCTTACTATGAGGGCGGGAAAATGGCAGGACACATCGCTCATTGCATGCGTGGAGATGTGTGCATCGAGCTGCCTCACCTTGAGGAAGTCAAGAACGCTACCCCTTACGATATGGATACGGATTGAGCTCTACAAGGCGTATACTTCCTCTACTTTTGATGCATGTCTCCGTAATGTCCCTCTCAAGTAGATCACGATCCTTTATGCATCTTGCCTACCTATCTCTTTGTCGATGTATTAACAAAATAACTCTTCGTGCCAAATGGCTCTCACAAGTGTACTTCCCCTCATCTCATGCGTTTCCTATAACATTCTGTCATAAATATCCTCAGTATTCATTTGCCTGCTGATTGGGCCACAGTGCTGCCACACCGCCACACATATTCTCGTTCACGTGCAATAGAAGCCGCTTCGAGAAGAACTTCACGAAGAGCTGATCACAAAACCAAGGAAACTTTGATTCCTTACCATCACCTCCTGGTCAATTACGTGACCTCTCCACATCCTATTCTCCGTTTTCGAGGATAATATCTCAGACAACGTTACCTGGGGCAGCTTGCGATGACAGACCTGGCGCCACCTACTTTCCTCGCGCATCTGAAGTCCTTGTATCCATCTAGCAAGGCGGCCCTCTCCTCGTCTGCTGATGGTGATTTGATGATCATGATCATCTTTGTGGCTGTCTACGACTGATCTTGTGCTCTTTCTCGTTTGAAGTCTTCAAGAATCCATGGTACATTGTGGCGTCATGCTCGTTCAGCACCGCTAATAGGCCCGAGACCATTCCCCTGATATTCAAGCATGTCTTCTCTGAGCTTGAGAAGGCTCAGGCAGACTTCGGTGTGTCAAAGGAGCAAGCACATAATGAGAAACTGTTACTAGCCCGTAAGATGAGGGATTGCTTGTTTAAATCTGGTATGGTGGCTGGATATTCCAAGGTAAAGATACGACTGTTTCAGAGATACTCAGCGTATACTGACTGCTGATGGTCAATGATAGGCTATCAATGCACTGGTATCTCTTTCTGAGGTCACGCCCGATGAGCTTCGGGACACGAAACCTCTAAGGTCAGTAGCTCATTCATGAACCAAGAAGTACCGAACTTGAGACCTTGAACGCGCAGAGATGCCCAGCCGATGCAGGTGTATGAGGAACGAGGAAAGGCCTTTTTCAAGTCCTTGTACGGAGAAACAGGCGATAATGTGCAGGGTCTTCTTGACAAGATCTCTCCAGACATGGGTATGTTGTTGTTTTACCCCTGCAAGGTGGAGCTTCAACTGAATGACTGCATCATATAGGCATGTTCAGCCAGAACGTTGCTTACGGCCATGTGTACGGTTTCCTCGAGGTGACCGACCAACTGGAGACTGCGTACACGCTGGTAGGTACACTCATCGCTGGTGACACACCTCGTCAGATAAACTGGCACTTGGACAACGCGCGCCGAAGTGGTGCCTCATTGGAGGACGCGAAGGCCGTCCGGAGGATTGCCATGGAGGTTTCAGAGGCTGCAGGTGTAAAGTGGAGGGATGGCGTACCGGATGTAAAGGAAGGCTGAAAGTACTGAACTTCGAGCAAAGGGCGGTACTTTAGATGACTGCAGTAGAATCTATTCGGATATTTGTATGACCCAGATGGCCTAGTACACAGTACGGGTGAGACAGCACCGAACTGAAGTCATTGTACTCAAATCTACAGTATGCTTGCCAAAAGGACATCAGCAGAGAATACCGAAGTAGATAAACATCGTCGGGCTTTTGTCGACGTAGAGCACTCAAAGATGGCAGGATTTGTGCGGGACACGGTTGACGAGAAGTCCGGCGTGTCAACGCCACCCATGCGTTCGGTGGCGCCCGGCATTCGCCGACTCGGTGCACGGATTTTGAGAACGCGGCGGTTCTCCTGTTCGCTCACCGTCTCGCTCACTTTCAAGCTCGTTATATCCTTCTGGAGGTTACTACGACCTATACACCTCCTACTCTATGCCGGGGGACATCCACCCTCGCCCCTCTGGATCCCTCTTGCGACCCACAGCAGCTTCCATTCTCGGCATTAAAGGACACTTGCGGTTTCGCCCTCATGGCTCTAGCCAGAAAGCGCATGTAGTATTGCGACGCGTCGAACTCGATGAAGACTCTGAAGATGAAGGGGATGGGAAGCCAGCGGTATACTTCAGCCTTTTTGCACAGAAGAGGATCGAAGTGAAGCCGGGGAAAGAAATTTTGCTGATGGTGGAGAATGGACCTTTCAAGGATCAGGCAATGTTGTTCGAAGGAGACGCGCTCGGTGCGACTTCGAGTTCTGATGAAGAAGAGGAGACGCAGGTAGCCGAAGAAGAGGAAGATTCTGTGCTCTCAGAGCAAGTAATGCCGCCGAAGATGCGTAAGAACTGGATGAAACGGTCGGCTTTATGTTCCCTATACCCTCCACCACATAACCCTTACCAGCTTGTCCTTTCAAGTCCATTTAGCACTACTGTAACGGAAACGCCAAAGCCTGAACCTCTTCCTCATGTATCTATTGGCGTGCAGGCTCAGCCTGAAGTTTCCTCGTCGTCGGTGCAAGCAGTCCCCCAGCCTCTAGAGACAGTGTGTCAGGCTTCTCAAACCTCTGATCCTCCGAAACATCTGCACAGCGCGACGCAGACTGACATTCGACCCGCGAGTACTCAGGACGCTGGAGTCAATACTTCCACCACATCTATTGAGGAGAAACCGGCATTGTTGGATCGCGTGGCGTTGCCAGACACTCAACAGGTATGTCTCTTTATGCTCTACGTCACGCATGTAGTATAATGGCTGGATTCAGTCATCCGGACACGAGCACAGCCTCCTTCCTATACAGCACTTGGACCGTGAGCGCAGTCTCTCTCCCATGGAACTTGATTCCCCACCCAGTAGCCCGCCTCCGTCACCTATCCGCACACCGTCGGATCCAGTGGCTCTCCCTGGCAAGACTCTACCAGTGGATATTTACGTGAGTTTCATACGATCTACCTCTCGCAAAAGCTATATTCTTGATCATGCTTACGAACAGGACGATACAACACAGACGAATGGCATGCTCCCATCGCCATCAACGCCACCTTCACACCATGACCCTGTTCCTTCCAGTGAACAATCTTTATCAAATGGCATTGTTCCCCATAAACGACCTTCCATGACAAATTTACAGCCCCTCACCGCCTCTCCACGTTCCTATCAGGTCCAGCAAATAAGCCCTGACTCCCCACAACTCTCACCTCGGGGCCTACCTGAAGATCCAGACCCTTCATCTGTTGCCAATGCTTCGTCTGCCACGCCACCTGTACCCAAGCCCGCAAATCGCAAAGCCTTTGTAAACCCATTTGTGTCTGGCGGGTTCGTTACGGATTTCGTGTCCCTACCGTCACAGTCGCCAGGGCCCAGTACTCAAGAGAAGCCGACTTCAGAATCATTGAACACGACTAGCGATAAGGTGTGTGGTCCTCATTCGTATTTTCGTATGTGTCCCACGCTGTGTTGACTGATACACGCCTCTCAGTCACGACTATCCAATACGTCTGAGGATGTGTCTGGTCCTGTCTCTGTTGCTCGGGTCAAGCGAGAAGAGTCTCCTGCAACACTGACTCTCACCTCGTCTAGCGACTCCAATCCGATTCCTTCCAATCCGCCATCTGCTACTCTTGCTCCCCATAACCCTTCTCAGCTGCCGTCTCCGACCTCACGACCGGAGCCACCGAAGCCTCACACGCCCGATCCTGTCCCTCAGCCTACCTCTACGTCAGGTGTATCTATCTCGTCTCACCCTCACAATGTGGTGTCCCATCCGAGACCGGGGTCGATAGACTTCAACCCTGTCGTATTCAGCGGTGCAATCTCTAGAGGGCCCGTGTCCTCTGCTCTTCCTACACACATGCAACAGCCGTCATTCCCCCAATCCACCCCTCGAAATCAGGATCTTGCTAAGTCGTCATTGCCTGTAGCTGTTACACATCCTGCTCATCCAGGCATGCAACATCCACCTTTTCCACCTTCCGCATCGCCTACCTCTCGAGCCTTTCCGCACATATCGGTATCACAACCTCATCCTGTACCTTCGTCTACTTCGTCGCGACCTATGTCTCCGCTGATCCCTGGATTGTCCCAATCTCAGAATCCGAGGCCAATCAACTCTGGGTCGAGGCTTGTCACTCCTACGGGACCGAGGGCTTCATTCATTGTTGCACCTAATACCAATGGTAATTCTTTTCCGCCATATGGTTCTTCAGTGCCACCTTTTCCGCCTCAGAGTATGCCAACCTCTACGTCCGGGATGTCTCAAGGATCGACATCAACGCCGAGTGTAGCGCGAGACCAGAATCATCTCGCATCGCCTTCCTCGCTCCCCGCTTATCCGGGCCCATCATCTAGCAATGCACCCACTGGTCCACCATTACGACCAATGTCGGGAACATCATCAGCCGTACCTGTTCCACGATTCGTTCCCGCTACCTCATTATCCCAGCCGCCATCTTCTACGGGCGCCATTCCACCGAAGCACTCACAAGCGCAAGCGACTCCTACCGCTCCCTCCGGGTTCTCTCAGACAACAAGCGACCCTCACCCAATTTCTACAACAGCAGCGCCTTCACAGGCTAACTTCGTCAAGCATGCAGGTGCTCCTTCGGATACAAAACATACAACACCCAACGTTGCACCTAATTCCACTCACCATCCTGTGCAACGGCCTCCGATAAACACCCCGACAGCTCCTAGGGCTGGACCTTCCGCTACGCAGGTTGCGGTGCCCAGTGGTTATACGCACGGACCGACAACAAGTACATCGGGCTTGCCGGCGCACCCTTTGCCACAGAAACCGAAGGCAATGGCACCCATGCCTCGATATCGTACGTCTCGTCACACATATCCTTAAACTGAACTAAGGCATACGACGCTCTCCTTAACAGCTCGTCACGCCTCTCCAATTGCTACACCGTTAGCACCGCGTATCACGGACGCCCGGCCGAGGGCACCATCTCCGCCTAAGACTGTGAGCGGGGTGAAACGGAAGGTTTCGCCGCCACCAATGGAAGAATCTGCACCCATGCTTCCTGAACCTCCGCCGCGTGTTCGTCGGACGGCATTGAAGTGTCCTTTATTGAGCAGCGTGCGGTCTATGTCTTTGCCGGGCGATGGCCCGGGAATCAGAGGGATTATGTTCAGCTCGACGGGTAGCTTTTTTGCGGTCAACTGTCAGTACTCCCCGTGTCATAGAATTTCTTGCATCATGCTGACTTTCTGTATGTGCAGGCCATGATTCTACGATTCGAGTGTGGGATAACCTCAATTTCAAGGAGATAGCGAAGTTGACGCATAAGGCTCCTGTTGTTGCGGCGATGTGGTTAGAGTATGATGTTGGGATCCTGTCTCTGAGCGAGACGGGATCAATAGCGAAGTGGACTCGACAAGGCGATCAGTGGCATTGGTCAAAGGTGGCTGACCCGAGCAATCCTGAACGCAGACCAGAAGACATACCAACGGCTATGGCGTACATTCACGATCGTATTGCTGTGGCGATCCCAAGGTTGGGTGTCAAGCTGTGGATGTTGAATAAAGGTGAGCTCTGTTTTGTTGTGAATTGTGCGATGGTCACGGATGACTCAACTGACTCCGTGGTGTATAGGTCAATGGCAGCAGCAAAGGTCCATCTTGCGACAGAATGTAACTGCAATTCGGTTCGTCGAGGATGGGGATGCCTTGCTCGGTGGTACCAAGGACGGCGTTCTTTGGTATTGCCAGGTCCCAAATGGTACACTTCGAGCTTATGCGTTCCTCAAGAACAAAGTGTACGGACATCTATTTCTACATCGACTTTCCAGCTACTTACATATGAATGCAGGTATCATATCGACGTGAACACAGCGGGGACGCACGCCCTAGTGTCTCAGCTAGGTGGCCGCGTGCACCTCGTCGGTATTCGTCAGAACGACAACAAGGGCAATATAGAACAAGTATATGCCATGAAGGACGCGGACCAGATGCAAAACGTCAGTTACGAATCAGGTGTAACATTCGTCAGCAAGTGCCAGTTGCTGGTGTATGGCTGTGCGGATGGGTCTTCCCTTGTGTGGAACAAGGACAACGCAGAGCTCATATACGGGCTAGATCATGGAGAAAGTGAGATTCCATAACAGACGTCACAGCCCTAACCGAGAGATGAGACTAACGGCCATTCTTCCTCTCTTGGAACTCTTAGACGCGATCGTAGAGGCAGTCGGAGTGAGTGCTGTCAAGGATTCGTATGTTATAGAAGCGCATTACTGACGACCGCTCTCACAATACTAACGCCGTTCAGAGCTTTTTCGGGAACGGTGTTTCAGCCAACGATTGTCTCGTTACCGGAACCAAAGATGGCCGTCTAACGTGGTTCGCGCACCCGCCAGTGCCAAACGGTATGCGGCTTTTCCATCGCATCTCAACTACGAACCATACTGACAGTAGCACCGACTGACGGCCTGTTGAAGACACAGATGAGACAGCTCCGAAGCGGTTGAAAGCGAGCTAATGACTAAGTCTGACTGGGGTTAGATTTTCTGGACGACCATCCAGAGGGTCTTGGGAGATAGAGGTCCGATTTTATGAGTCTAAGTTATCGCATTCCTCTTGCTTCTTCGATCCATTTGCACGTGCAAAATATTCTTGTTCTATGTGTATTACCTTACTGGTAGCGATAGGTAGCTGTCGCCTAGAGTTATTGGCTATCTGATAGCGATGAGCGCAGGAAAGACGGAAATAAGATTTGTGTGCGAGTGTTTGTGACCAGTTTGTGACGCGCGTGGCGATGGGCGGCAGAGCCGGGGCGTCTAGGCCGAGCAGCGACCAAGAGCCGTCCTCGTCGTTGCCAACAGCTGTCGACCACAGCACGCACAGCAAGCCTGCCAGCAGCCACCCTCCTCCCGTCATCGTCGTCGTCGTTCCACTCGTCTTCGCACACGTCTCCGGGCTCCTGTCTTCGACAGAGCGAGCTGTACGTCTCTTTCTATAATATTTCGGTATCCCATCAGTAACTGACCGCAACAACCCGCCCTGTGACGACTGCGTTCCAACTCGCGCTCGGTTTCCACACAACTCTCGACTTTCCGTACCGCAAGGCGACACACTGGTCTCATCTTCCCTCAGCAATTCCCTTTTCTTTTCACGCCAGGCAGTTGCCCACTGTCGTCTTAGCAATAAGGTCTGTCTTCTTCATTGTGTCCTAGCCCTTTCGGCTGTTTTATCGCAGTCGTGAGAGCACCAATTAGCCTATTCCCCCCCTCGCCATCTCTTCATCTCTTTCATCATAAGACATTTGTGTATCTCGCGAGTGATAGCTAAACTGCTGCTCTCGCCAGCAGCCGCTTTAGTCGTTCGGAGTCGTAAGAGATATGCAGACTATTAAATGTGTAGTCGTCGGTGATGGTGCCGTCGGGAAGGTGCGTCCTACCCCCTATGAAAATGTGCTCTTTATACTAATTGTGCATTCCTTAGACTTGTCTTTTGATCTCGTACACAACGAACAAGTTTCCCAGCGAATATGTCCCTACCGTATGTCCGCCTCACATGTTCTGTTCGGAATCAAGCTCCGAGCTTGTCCCCCCTCCTCTAGGTCTTCGATAACTACGCTGTGACTGTGATGATTGGCGATGATCCCTATACACTTGGTCTGTTCGATACTGCCGGTACGTCACCGCGTTACTGTATCGGTGATGCCCTGTTCTGATCCCCATCGCCGATGCCCACCAGGTCAAGAGGATTACGACCGCCTCCGCCCACTATCATACCCTCAAACAGACGTCTTCCTCGTGTGCTTCAGCGTGACCTCACCAGCGTCTTTCGAGAACGTGAAGGAGAAGTGGTTTCCTGAAGTTCATCACCACTGCCCCGGGGTACCATGCCTTATCGTGGGAACCCAAATAGATTTAAGGGATGACCCGCAAGTTATGGAAAAGCTGCAGAGGCAGAAACAGCGGCCCGTCGCATCTGAGATGGGCGAGAGGCTTGCCAGGGAACTCGGAGCAGTGAAGTACGTCGAGTGTTCGGCGTTGACCCAGAAGGGTTTGAAGAACGTGTTCGACGAGGTGAGTACGATCGCACTGCATGCCTTCGAAGCCATACCCTCAATTTTGCTAACACATGTTTTGGACTCGCTCACTACGCGGACCTGCAGGCAATTGTTGCTGCCCTTGAGCCTCCTGTCGTCAAGAAGAAGAATAAATGTGTCATCCTCTAATATAGTCCATACTTCCCTCATATTGCCCTCGAATACGACCGTACCGCCCGTTCGTCATATAGTCCCTTCACTTTCTCATGACCATCTACGATCTTCTCCCTATATCCCGTGCACATCACACACTTCTTCTCCTTTCACGTCTGTCTCTCCCTGTCTCTATTACCTTTTTTCTGTCTCCGTCTTCTCTGTCTGTCTCTCTTCTGGCGTCGTGTTTGTCTTGACTCTTATCATTCTCTTCATCATCTCTCTATTCTGCTTTGCCTGCTCCAGACGCCCGTCCGCCTGCCCGCCCATGCCCCATCCAATCGAACCGACCTCACAGCACTCCCTCGTCAATCCTTTCCCCTAATTTCCCACGTGTTTCGTCACTCGATCGCTCGGTCAGGCCGTTCGCTGTTCGGGTCGTCGGTTCGGTACATAGCAGGCAAGGGGCTGGAAGAAAGACGCTTTGCAGTTGGGCAGTAGTCGGGCTTACTATTTCGTGCCGGTCATCATATTTTTTCCATCACCATGTGTTGCGGTGTGTACGCCTTTCCCCCGTCCGTTCGGTTGTCCTGTCAGGCCGTCTCCTTTCTCAACTTCAGGCAGATTAGGATGTCCTTGTAGTTCATATCTGGGGAAACGTTTTTGGGTACATGTGAGGGATCCAATACCCTTATATAACTTATGAGAAGTTCAAGGCGGATAGCGGCGCAGCGGCAGGGCTTGGTGTTAGTCTAATCGTTAGGTTTAGTGGTTAGTGGCGATGGCCGTTAGTACATCTGAACGCGCTTAGAGCAAGCGATGGACGACAGCGTTGTGCACGCTTTCTGCGCGAGGCGATCGCGAGTGCGCCATACTCGTTCGGTCTGACGTCCGTGTTCCGGCGCGCCACAAGAGTATTCTGTGTGGCGCTAGGCGGCTTGAGCGATTATGGCCATTGGCCGGCATTGAACAGATCAGTGTGGAGAATGCATCACTTCGCACAAGTCGTTGATAGATTCAGAGAGCGTTACGAAAACAAGAAGATGTAAATAATTATTATAAAGCAACAAAACGTGGGTATAATAATGCAACAGGCATTTGAGCGGAAGGAAAAGCAGATGATGTCATCGCCGAAGGCTAAGTATAAGCTTGAGTCTATCAAGAAGCAAGAACGTTCGAACTTGAAGAAGACGCGAAGAATAAGAAAGGAGAGTAGGACAGAGGACAACAAATGGGAATACGAGGGAGTGTACATAGCACGGCACAATAAAGGGGTTGACAGGTGGTATCAGCATGGAAGACAACATCTGGGAATACATTTCATTCAATGATTCCGCCATATGAGAAAGTAAAGATGTGACCCACCTGAGGTGTTCTACAGGTATCGGTACAAGCATATGACGAGTACATCCTTAGTGCAATCAAGCACCTGGTAGCGATCAGAGACCGCGAGGGGTCGCAGCTGGAGCACGAGCCCTCCAACTAAAGAACAAAAGATCTATCAGTATCCATTACAGCTGCGAGGAATTCAAAGGGGACATGAACGAGCACTCACTGCTTAGAAGGCTTAGGGTAACCACCGCTTCCCCCCCAGCCACTGCCGCTGTCACCTCCTCCGTTACCCCAGCTGCTGCCGCCATCGCCTCCGGTGTTGCCCCAGCTGGAGCCAGAGCCAGAGCCCCATTGATCGCTGGAACCACCGCCTTCGCCTCCGTCGTGGCGACGAATCTTGGCTTGTTTGTAGATAGGGTTGGGAGTGGCAGAGACGGTGGTGGCCATCACCAAGAGCAGGGCAGATAGGAAAAAGATGATGGTGCGCATGTACATCTTGAGTTTGAGTATGTGAGAGTTAGATTGGACAAAAATCGAGGTTTAAATGCTGAGGGAGCCTGGGTGACTGGTAGTAAAGACTGTCGGTGCGGGGAACGCAAGGCTCTATGCAAGCAGTACGAGAAACACAAAGACACAGTGCGTGTATTAGGCGTTGAGGGGAAGTGAAAGAATATGAAAACGGGGAAGGGGGCCATATATAATGCTTATCACTAGTGCTGATGATCATGTGCATTGACCTAGTATGGACACGAATTTTCTCACTGAGTGCGTTGCCAGCTCAAGCAGGTGAATGGAACAGCAATTTCGAGGAGTGTTTTACTGGTCTTTTGCTGACTGGCGGCCGTGGGCGATGATGGAGACAGCATCATGGAAGGTTGGACCCCCACGACGCTACAGTTCCGAGGAGATATATCAAGATGGTTAGGAAACAATGGATGCGAGAAGAGCATCACTAGACCGTATCTGCAACCGTTTAAAACGGCTTTAAAACTGTGATCGGGCCAATCGTCGCGCCCCGTTGGGCTTTAGCGAGCTTTGGCGAGGTCAAAAATTCACTCGCAGATACGGTCTACTGTCAATGCCACATCGAAGGCACTGTCTGGTTGAAATAATCAGAATCGGGAGCCGTACTATTCGATTCGAAAGGTTCAAGCTCAAGATGATCCAGCAGAGAACGCGAACGTCGCCAGTTGAACGCAAGCCGAGTGCAAGAAGAGTCCTCAGAAACCAGGTCTGGTCAAAAGTAAGGTCAGGCTCATGTTTGTATCATGACACTTCAGGATGATTTGTCACGCTCGAGGAACGCTGAAGAGAGACAAGAAACTGAGACATTCGAATTGAAAAAGAAAAGTCCTGGCTATTATTTGTACATACTCCAAAGAGAGAACGCGCTTGCGGGCGTTTACGGTTTAGCGCGCTGCCACCCGTCGTGCGCATGGTCCGTGCGCACATCTCCCATCCTTTATAACCGTGCGTCGGACATCCTGATTCTGCATACTTACCTTGATGGGTCGTGCCCCTTCACGTACCTGGGTGCGTCGGCGGTTGGGCTCTTCCATTGCACGGCGACCTTGTCCCCAGAGGAGCCTGGTCGTTTGTACGGTCCTATGGGCCGTGCACCGTCTAAATATTTTCCTGTCCCACTCCGGCCCTCGGGCTGGGTGGGCCATCTTTTTTGTCGGTTTTCGGCGCTAACCCTAACCCTATTTACCTATATATGGCAATTTACCTCATGGTTTACCTCCTGAACCTTCTCCGGTCTACCAGTGCAATTGACTTCCTGAGTGAATATTTTGAATCGCGTTTCTGATCGGCATGAGATTTTCTAAGCTTGTCATCTTCAGCAGTCCCGACATGGACTCTCATCCGACACCAGCAGTCTCGATAAGTATGGCAAACCAATGGAAAATCGCCACACAGATTGCCTGAAAAATAACTTCAACCAGTTTCGGCCTTCCTTTGTTTGTCTTCTTGACTTGGTTGCCTCTTGTCAGCTTTGCCAAGAAGTTCGAGCATCTCAGTAAGCATAGTCCAAGGCTGACCATGCTCAAAATTGTACGCCGGAGGCAATCATTGACAAGCAGGCCAAAGTCATGGACGTGCATACATTGTCTATTCATAACGAGCTGGTAACAAACGATAACAATCATAGCACAAATCATCTATCGTAACGTATGAGGGGCCTCCTAAACGTACCACGGAATTGGTAAAACACACGAGCTGTAAGGTGAACAGGCCCGACGTAGAGAATTCCGAGAAAGCCCCGCATGAAGAAACTTCGTCCAGGAGTCACAAAAGACGGAGGAATAGGGAGGAGGGATGACGAGAACAGGCGAACGTAACGAATAGAAGTACAAGTCCATAACGCGAGCAGATAGCTAAGAGCAGCATATCAGCAGTCGGTTTTTGTGCGGGATTAAAAGTGGAGTAACATACGAGAGCGTCGACGCCACCGTAAATTGATAGGCCGATATCTACCGGGCGTAGACACAAATACACAAATGCCGTATTCAGTGGCCGAGAGAGTAGAGATTTGGAGAGCTCGCTGACCTAGAGACACGAAAGCCGCGTCATCGCCTGATAAATTAAACAGCCCGCAGTCAGTGAGAATCCTTCAACAGCAGTCGGACCGTCATACCCCTTGGGTGTCTTAGTCGGTGAATTCATGAGCGCGAGCGATGAGCCTGGAGTAATCGTCGCAGCATATCAGTGGGATGAAACAGCGAAGGAGGAGTAAAGACGCTTACGCAGCGGAAGGCTTAGGAGCCCTCTTGCTAGGGCCTGGGGCGCGCGCTCCGAGACTACAATACCATTGATTGGATGTTAGACGAAGAGAACCAGCGGTGTAGCAAAAAAATTGGTACACATACGCAGCGGATGGACCCGGAGCTCTCTTGCTGGGAGCAGGGGCGCGGGCCTCCCATCTGTGAAACCAACAGACAGAGCGTCAGTACATGGCCTCGGAGACGAAGATCAAGAAAAAATAATTCAGAAGCGAGCAGACTCGTTCATACAAGGAAGTTCCCTGTTTCATACGTCTACTCGCGCCATCGCCGAGTTCCCCGTCTAATGGGAAGTAAATATCAAGGGTTACTTACACTTTGGACGGCTTCGCGTCGGTTTGCCTCTTCAATTCATCGCGGCGAGCGGGCTTGAACTGCTTGAGACCGGGAACGGGAGAAGCAACAACATCGACAGCCAAAAGGGAGAACACGAAGAAAATGGCGGCGGAAGCGAAACGCATCGTAGTAGAAAGAGTAGATTGGTCTCGTAAAATAAGCGTTCAAAAGTCTAGGAAAATTGAGAAGGTCCTGCGGGGGCGGGGCTGCAGTACTTGAAGGATGCTCTCGCAGGTAGCGAAGGGTTTTTATAGCCACACTCCAGTCTGCCAACAGCATGAAGGAACATGCCTCAGATAGTCAAGAAAGGAAATCACAGCGTACGTGTGAGAGCGAGTGCTTCACAAAGCGAAAAGGCGTAATGCATCGGGGTAAAAAAAGCCCTCGACGGCGTTAGAAAGCTGAGATACAGACCATATACACTTACCTCATGTAAGGAAGACGTGCTTGTGGAGACTCGGCGAGCGCTGGACTAGAGTTATCGGGCACACGTTAGGTATCAACGGACCAAAAGACGACGCATCGGGTAGGACTTGAGACTTAAGTAAAGTGCGGAATCAGAATCAGTGGTGTCCGAGCATCAGCGGCGCGGTAGATTGTCGGGGAGACGGACGCCTTGCGCGGTGACGAATAGCTATAGTCTTTTCGAAAGGGGCTGAGCACATCGTATTGAAAAAAATCGAGGGTACATGCATCATTGCATGCAACCGTCAACGCGTCAACAGCGTCCCGCCCGGAGCGTGATAATAGCAGACGAGTTAGTGAGTCCTCAAAGGTTCGCTGCCTTGTTAGATGTGTATGCCCTATGTTCGTGTTGTAGCCATCTTCGTTTCTGTGCGCAAGCTTCGCTACCGAGAGAGGACATATGGTACTGAACCTAGATTTACTACCATGCTATTTGCTATTATCAGAACCAATAGAGATGGATTTTGGACGGCGAAAGCGTGGAGAGGAAAGAAGGGGTATCACTTACGCCAAAGCCTGCGCGGGTCGTTGCAGGGAATGACGCCAGCCGACCTAAACAAACCTCGAGATAAGGTTGACTGTATTTTTGGTCTGGCATCTTTTGAAAGAAATGGCAGTGCACTGCGACAGTCATGACAGTTTCTATGCGATACTGTTGTGTGGCAATATGCGGCCGACCTACTAAACCATGTCCAGAGCATGGCCCGAGGCTTAGAGATCCACCGCGCATGAATGAACCATACCTCGACCTTTTCTGCCGTGGCGAAGGAGAAGAAAGTGTGAATAAGTAATGTGGGCGTATCCGGGCAATTGGCACATGCACTCACCTCCAATCTTCGTACAGTGTCGGACTAAATTTATGGAGGTGAACAAGGCTTATCTGCAACCGAGGACCCTCGTTCCATGTATGCCACCCGAGATGAACAGGAAGACGCTTCGTTGATCCTACGGTAGAGGGCGCAAGCTAGGAATATACCCATTCCATGATCTTCAGCATCGAAACCAGCCCGGCATCATCAGCTGAACAAGGGGTTCAGCATCCTGGTGTCCTCGTCAGCAACGAGGTGTGGTCAACTTGAGGGCGTCTCTGCAGATATCTCCGGTGTGTCGAACGTCGCATAATTGCCGTCTGCATGGAAGCAAAGGGAAGAACGTGGGACATTCCTGGTGTCTTAGGGTGACTCTTGACTGAGGGGGGTTGCCGGCCCGCGACAGCATAGACACTACACCGTCCGAGGGAACTCAGTAGCCTCGCCAATACACGCAGTCAACCTCTTAGTAACATCAAGGGCCACTCTAGGACCAACGATGACGAGGACAATGACGACAACGGCCACGGAGGATGACCACAGAATTTTAGCATTGAGTTCGATGACCGTTCGAACGAGTTCGCTCCCTGGAGCCTGAGTGTGAATAGGCAAACAACGTTCATTAGCATTACAAACGCACTATCACACCGGCGGATGATTGAGTCAATCCGTCACCACTCGCCAGTGTACAGCACCGAATCTGCGATACTAAGACAAACATTGAAACACAACTAGGCGTGGGCTACATCGCCCCGAGGGGCCACATTACATATGGGATTCTAAAGGATGAGAGAAAATGTCAGACCGCTTGACAGGATCATGAAGAGGACTGGTCACATACCTAGGAAAGCAAAGACCGCGTTTGACGGACACGAAGGCGAAAGCAGCGGCACAGAGACTAAACCCTTCTTCATCCTCTCCAGATTCTTCCAGCCAGCGCTCGTCACAGCCTGGACAACGGCACTTCCTGACCGTCTGCCTGCCTGCATTTTGTTATTCTCTTGGACGCATATCCTAAGATCCAGGGCACATTCTCCTTGTCCCGACCTCTCCGACCCGACCCTCCTTCCCCCAGCCCCGCCCGGCGTATCCCTACCAACGCCACCCCCGGGCGAGGCTCCGTATTGGAGCCAGCAACACCGTCAGATATCATCGTCGTCCGAGTAGAACTCGTCTTCCTCCTCATCGATCGAGGTCAGGTTGGTGAAGTCGACCTTGTAGCGCAACAGACCGCCGATACCACCGAAGCCCTTGACGAATTGTGCCCCTTCCTGCGACCGGTTGGTGACAAATTCAAGGTTAGCACCGAACTCCTTGTATTTTTCCGCGAACCATTCGAGCAATGATTGGGGTTCGGATGCTTGCTCCATCTCGAGGCCAGTGGACTTGTCGATGAACTTTTCGCGGTCCTTCTCTTGCTCCTTGTTTGCGTGGACGATAATCTCCTCTATAGGGAATGACCGGACGAGGGAGTGAGTAAAAAGCAGGAATATTACGAGCGAAATCGCTGACCGTTGGCAGCGTTGCGCAGTGTATAACGCGTGATGTCGAGGTTCTCCCAAACAATCAGCGTTTCAACAGCACCGAGCTCGAGAGCCTTGAGAGTGTCGTCGACACCGAAGCAGTATTTTCCAGAATCAAGACTGATCTCGTCGAAGTACTTCTGGATGAGCTTCTTCTCTTGAACGAACTTGACGTTTGCGAGAGACTCAGCGGCAAGCTCGATGGCCTGATTCAGAGCAATATATCTGAGTTATTCAGGGTCATGTGTATGAAGGCCTTATAACCATACCTGATTGAAGCCGTTTTCACCGCCATAACTGACATCGACAACCTTGATAACCTTGGCGGCCAACCGAGGATCGAACATGTCGCTCTGGCTCAGCTCCGTCTTGAAGTCGGCACTGCCGGCGAGAACGAGGCCGGTGCAATTGACCTTGTCGTTGGTGATGAAATGCTGGACAGCGTGCTCGGCTACTTTGCGAACATAATTGTGGCGTTTTTCATCACGGAGACGGGAGAACCGAAGGGCAGACTGTCCACCACGGCCGTGCTTTTTGGGGAGATCGACTGTGAATTTATGGATGACCTCTCGTGTGTTCCCCGCTAGTGTGCCGAATAGCGTGCCGTTTCCATCCATGACGATGAACCCGAAACGAGAATCAGATTCGAGAAGTTCAGAGAGAGCTTCGGTATGAAACTTGTTGTCACAGAGATACAACGACCTAAAGAAACGTTCAGCAGGGATTATTAGACCTTCAGAAAGAAATGGAACGGACGTGTTGATCGGTTTGTGCGGTTCAAAATCGAAAGAGACCTTCTTCTCCTTGCCCTCATCCGTGAGAATTGTGCCGACGAACAGTACTAGGCCATTCGGTGGTACACGGTTATACAGTTTCAGGCGCTGCTGGGTACTGGTGATGGCTGCGAGTACGGACAGTCGGTTGACCCGAGACTTGATGTTGGAGGCGGTACCGTATTCTTGAGTCAACATGGCAGACGCTCGAGAAATTTGATCCTGTGGGAGAAATTATCACCTGCACCGACAAAGACGACGTTGAGAGCGCTGAAGTACCTTGGGGGGAATGATCAAGCTGATCATGGAAGTGCCAGCTCTGGGACAAAATCAGTCCAGTATTTAAGGGATAGAGGAGCATAAAACATACCCTCTGGCCGCATCAAGGCTCTTGATGAGCTTCTTGACCTTCCACATCTGAATATTCTGCTCCGCCTGGTCTTGACTCATCTTGGTAAATCTCTACGCTCTCCGTAAGACGAAGTATCGACAAAGAAAGCTGAAGAAAGACGGTATAAGGCCTTGAGGCCGGGGGGTGGACGATGAAGAATCAGATCAAGCCCTCTGCAGAGCCTTTTCCGACTCTTTCGTCTGACGTAACCTTGCTATTCGTGGGAACTAAAACATATACATGTGGCGCGCAGCTTTACCGCTTGTTCACCGTCTCCTACCACGAGCGATGCCCGACCCATCCAAAAAACGCAAGCTCGACGATGCAGATGACATAAACCACTCTACTCGAACGAACGTAGGCCGCTCTGCTCATCGGGAAAATAAAAAATTACCGAGAAAGTCCCTTCATCCAGCTCCCTCGCCCTCTTCTCGCCCTACTGCAAGGCCACAATCTTCGAAGAGTCCATCTCGCGACGGTTCTTCATCTGAACCTACTTCTGTCGATAAAGGGAAGGGAAACGCTGCACAGGCAGCGGACAGTGACGCGTCAAAAGCTCCGATAAAAGTCAATAAACTTGTGCCACCTCGTCCTTTTCCGACTGTACCCGTTGGCGTCAATGCTACTGGCCCGCGTTCTGCTCACCACGAAGGGAAGAACTTCATAGCTATCACGCGCAAAACATCTCTTGGCGCGTATCTCAGACGATGTAAAGACATCGTCCTCAAAGACGGGTGCGTTCGTGTTTATGTTTTCAGCTCAAGTCTCTGAAACCGTGTTGCGTCCTGTAGCTACAAATCTTTGCACCTGAGCGCTCTTGGCGCCGCGATACCACACCTCATGACACTCGCTGTCTCTCTGTCTGCTGTTCTCCCTTACGCCGCCGATGAAATCCACATCGAAACCCTCACCGGCACGGTCGAGGTACAGGACGAACTTATACCGGACGACGAGGACGAGGACATATCGTACCGAACTCGGGGTAAGTCCAGCGTCAGCGTCGTCATCACGATAGGAGACGGCGTCGATGAAAAAGTGGACGGAGGGGCAAAGTGGGGACCTCGAGGGAAACGAAAGACGCGTGGGCCACCCGCTGCCGCTCAGGGGTCGAAGAAGGAAAGTGGGGCGGCAAGAGCTACAGGTGTGGTGAATGCGACGGAAAAGGCGACGGAAAATACTATAGACGAGTCGTAAGTAATGATCGCAGTTCGTTCTTCGGAATATGGGACCAGTGAGGGGTGAGTGTCTTTGCTATGAGCGTTCTTTCCTTCTCCGATCACTGTGCCTTTTGGTGAATGTGATGCGGCATCTAATCTATTATTGCCAGTTATTTTGGTCTTGTCATGGTCTTACTCTGATGTATAACAATGCGCTGCGAATGTCCACCTTCGAGGTGCCACAGCCTCGCAAATCTTCTCCCTAACCGCTCACCAATGGATTAATTTTATTAATTTCCATCCGGTCACTCTTCCATGTCCCATGCTGTACAATATCTTGCAGATGCGACAAACCGGCGGCGGGAGTGGTATCTGTCGCGCTATAATTTTTATTCCCGCAGCGCACTGCTCGTGCTCGAGATAGCCGCACAGGCCCTTTGCGGCGTCACCTCAGTAGAGCCAATTTTTGGGAATGTAATGAAGCCTGTGCCGATCAGGACGTCATCGGATTTGCCGTCTAATGTTACTTACGGTATCGTCACGCACAATTTCTGGGCTCGTTCGAACATCATGGATGTGTGTATGGCATCAAACTCGACGAATAAGATATATGCCATAGAGACAGCAAGCTGGAGCGTCCATAGTAATGTGAAGAAGACCAGGTACAAATACATGGTAGTAGTACAATCGTCCGACCCGTGGTCCAGTGTCCTGGCATAGAATAAAGATACAAACAACACAAATAAAACCCAAAGTCATAGAAAGCGTCTTGAGCGGAGAAGAAGTTCGTGGAGATTCTTGAAGACCGTAAGATATAATTTAGGAGGCGGACGTCATGAAGGAGGTTGGTATTGCGCTCGAAGCCGTTCAACGAGATCCACGTCGAAGTTCACATTCCGAAGGAAAATGGCGCTGAGAGAACGATCTCCCGACCTGAAATCACCAATGACTCTTTCTCGAGAATAGCCTGGGGGAATGGCCCGACTCGCGATACCATTCTGAGTCTGATAGTCAATTGTTAGGGATCACATACTCGACTCCGCTCGGAATGCCACGCACCTGCTCAGGCAAGCTCTCCCATTCATCCGGAGTCAGACGATGCCATACCCACACGCGTGATGGTTGTACCCTCTCGTACACACCGAGATACTCCACGAAATTATCTGCGAGATGGACAAAGAGATGGATCCATTGGCCGGAAGGCATCAAATCCTGAAATGCTGCCACATTGTCCATTGGGATGAAGGGTTGTCTGGAGATAATAGGCGAGTTGACGCCGACGGGAAAAATGTATCCATGCTCTCTTGGTCGAAGATGAGATAGCGCCTCCAAATGGTCGTTCTGGTGTAGAAGAAGGCACGGGTTATGAGGGCTCTAAAGCAAAGACACATAAAAAAAGAAAGCTCTTCTCATGAGGAGAGATCCTTAACGAGCGAGCGGAAAGGACAACACACCCTATACTCGTCAATGACCGCCCACGCAATAGCAGCTGGGAAGCGCAATCTGGGCCGAGGATCATGAGTCGTAGAAGGACTCGGGCCCACTTGCTTCTCCAAGTACGACAACCGACAGGTCTTGATGAAGTGGCATGAGGCTCGCACCCCATCCGAAAATCTGGAACCCTGACCAACAGGCTGTTTCCTCCATGGAAGAGACAAGGTGACCTCCGAACCTAGGAGCCTGTATGGGCCAGGCTTGACAATGGCCTCCGGGAGTACGTGACCAAGGAACACAGCAGTCCGGAGTGGCGTGGAAATAACCAGTCGATGGACTATTTGACAATCTTCGGCCCTCGATTGCACACCCGTTTGTAGCATATAGGCCAATGGTGCCCAAACAGGCAAAAGCAACGCGTTGGATAATTTGTGCAAGAAGGAATGTGGTGGATTGAAAGGATCGTGGAGAGGAACGTCAAGCTCCTGAGCGAGCACGGCGAAGACAGCAGCTGTGCGCTGGTCATCATTGGAGACCACAGGCCCGGGGGGATAGGAATGTACGCCTGTGATGGGTTGTGGTGTACCCTGGCTATCGACGACATTGAGCGAATGTCGACCGTTATCCTAACAAGGATGGGGAACTCGATAAGTCCACTTGAACGAAATGTGGAATGATGATGAAAAAGATCACACCACGCACGCCATGATGCAAGGTGCAGTATATCACCCATCTCGTCTCCTGTGGTAGCTTGATACTGTCCATACCGGATGCCATCAGGCTGGGAGTAGCTGGAGAAAGGGAGGGTGGCGATGTGTTGCTCATGCAGATCGAGGAAAAGGAAACGAGGTAAGCTATGCGTCCGGAGGTGACTCGCCCCGTACTTATTGTCCAGAAGCATGAGCAACGATGTCGGGGCAGCGTGAGGAAATAGGCGGTATAGGTAGTGACGACAAGCAAGCAATGACACGGAAAGGTGCAACGCGCTCTTCATGCTGAGCGCGAACATCGCCACCCGAATCGGCCCTGGCCCACCGGAACGGCTAGAGATGGCGGGATCTGTGCAAGCTTCGGCATTGTGCAGAGCGCTAAATGTGCGTTCCATCGGTCTGTGCAGGATCACAGCTGTGTAACGCGATAATGTTGACGACGACAAGTGGCAATGATGAATGGAAGGTAAGACCTACCCAAACCCACGAGAGCACACAGCTTCGGATGCTCCCTGTTTTTCTGTTTTGTTTTTTGCAATGCATTCTGCATTTCCAGAAAGCTTAGTAGCGGTCGAGATACGAGTATTGCAGCGACTTTCGGTTCGCGTGCAAGAACAGTAGGCAAGGGACACATACTCCTCGACGGATCCCTGGGTGGCTGATAGCGCATTGATAGGCGAACAGATATTAGAACCGGTGTTGTCCATCGTCCGGTCAGAATACCTCCAATTGGAGGGAACACAAGGCTCACAACACAACAGGGCTGTGTTGGGGGATGCGCAGCCTCACAAGTCTGACTCCTGTGCCTTCTCGGGGATGCAGTTCTCTATGAAGAAGCTACTATACGCCGTAGAGGGAGAATGACTGGTAGATTCGCCCAAAAAGTGAGGAGAGGAAAGCTCAGACCTTGAAGCTTGAAATCTTCCGACGAGAACATGGCTTGGTCACCGTTGGCGTCGTATCCATAATGGACCGCATTTCTTGAGAATCGTCCCGATGGCTGAAGGATCATGGCGGCTATCTCCGCGAACAATGCTAGAGGCACCATCAGGGCATACTTAGAAGATTGACTGTGGTAGATGAGATCAGAGTAGCGTCCGAGCCGTGTGTTGGCCCTATCAAAAATTTCTGTGTTTACATTGCACAGCGACGGGCTGACCATAGTTCATTGTCGTTTGCTTCATCTACAAACGCGCAAAACCCGTGCATAGAGAGCATAGCAAGGTAATCAGGAACGAGTGAAGACTGAGGACCGTGTTGGGATCGTTTGATCAGTGGTACGCCAAAGAGCTCCGACCAGGTAAGTAGTTGGCACCCCGAGTACATGGACACCGTCCGGCCGTTTGGCGAAAGCCTGTCATTGTGATCGATCTCAGCGGCACTCCCGTACTCATCTAGTATTTGTGTACCGATCTAAGTATGGTCTGCTTTCTTCAGAGAAATTGTGTTCTGGGCTGTCAGTTGTACATTGATATTTTCGATGACCTGACCAGAGTCGCTGGCAGGCAACTGGCAGGTGAAACGTGACTGGGGTTCACATTGAGTGACGTCGACGATACTTACTGTAGTTGTACTGTAGCATTTGAGTCTATCAGCAGTCGATTCAAGTTGTAAGCGAGATAGTCCCGGGCGACCGATATACCTGCGGTGCGAATCGTTTCTTGCAGACCGGATATAATCGAATATATTGCGAACACATATATGTAGTCTGCGCACTGGTTTAAAACATTGTTCCTTATGGCCACAGTGGCGCACGGCTGAGACAACGGCAAAGGCCGAGGGCGCGTCAAGCACGGGCTCAGCCACAAACGCGTCTTGAGCTCGTCCATCAACATCGTGAACGATATCCCTTTCACTGATTTTTCGAGATCCTGTTCTTCTTCCCTGTGGACACCACATACATTTATCTAGTCTGAATCTGTTGGGCTCAGTCTGGCTTCTGTCTTGTCGCTTGCACAGCTTGAGAACGGCCCCCTCAAACACCCCAGATCCGGTGCAAAGGTTCTCCACAGTGAGTTTTCTCGGCTGGACATTCTTCGACTTGATATGAGCGGGACGATAATTACTTGCGCGTTTCTACTAGTACATTGGCGTTTCAGGGTGCTATCTGCCTCTGAGCTTCACCAAAAATGACCGAATGGACAATCAACTCGAACGAAGCGCTCACGCTTTCCCTTGGTCAGGCAAACATGCTTACCGTCCATACTGCTGCTGACCGGAAACTACCTATCCCGCTCACAGTCCGATCACCTGCCGACAAAGCAGTCCTCGGAGAAGACGAGACGTATGAGGACTTTCACCCCACATTCACGTATCCAGTATGTACCCGTCTGTCTATGAAGCACATGAGATGGTTCATGTTTATGCACCTCTGCCTGTGTTCTTCACAGATATACGGAGACGATGAGAAGATATACGGATACCAAGACCTTATTATTGATGTCCGTTCCCCTTTACTGTTTCTGTTGTGTGCCTTCTCAAACCCACCTTACCTTACATTACCTGATCTCGATAGCTCCGATTCGCTTCCGGTTCCCTTGCAACTTTTCTCAAAGTATCTTCGTCAGCGACTCTGCCATCATCCTCTACTGCTGCTGTCATCGACGATCCCTATAACACCCTCATGAAGTTCCTCCCTGAAGACACATACAAGACCGAGGAGGCGTTCATGGGACGGGCTGAGACTGAGGCGGATATGTTCAAACCGTATGGAGAGAAGGTGTCCGATTATCAACGGCCTGCGCCGGGGAGTGGTGCCACGCCTCTGGGAGAGATCGCGGGCAATGCTGGTGAAGTGGGCGGAGGAGAGGACGTCATAACGTATGAAATCTGGCATGTGAGTTCTGTCTCAACCTTTGCTTCCTTCACCGGTGAATGCCCTTGAAATGTGTTTATCGATTGAACTTTTCCCAAGGCAACCTGGGATACACCGGGGTTCCGAGAATATCATCGACGAATGCAGATATTCATCTTGTTGTATATTGAAGCTGGTTCGTACATCAACGAGGAAGAAGACTCGTGGGAATTCATGGTCCTGTGAGTTCCATATCTCTCATATCTTGTCGTCCCCCATTTGGTGCTGACCTGAAGAGAACTGAATGTGTGTAGTTATGAAAAGCGTAAGCGACGAGATGCGGCAAGGACAGAAACATATCATTTCATGGGATATTCTTCCTTGTATCCGTTTTGGTGCTTCCCAGAGCGAGTGCGCCTGCGCCTGAGGTGCGCTAGCTGCTTTCTAAAATCATCCCCTAGAGTCTCACCAACGGCACAGTCAGTTCATTATTCTTCCGCCATATCAGCATAAAGGGCATGGTTGTATGTTGTCTCATTCCCTGCAGCCGCTTGGCTTGAACCTTGAAACTTATAAATCTTGAACTTTGACCACAGCCGGCCTCTATCAAGCGATATATAACTATGTCCTTTCGAAACCCGTGATCTCTGAGCTGACCGTGGAAGATCCTGCCGAAGCATTTGAAGACCTTCGCGACCGAAACGACCTCAAAATGCTTATATCACACGAGCAATTCATGCGCGAGGCGTTCGGAGAGAAGGGTGCCGGAGTTTCGAGTGGTGGAGGAAGGGTGGCGAGGAAGAAGGCGGTCACTAGCGGAAAGAAGGACAAGGGTAGATTAATTCCCCCTGCAGACAGGGCGTGGGTGGAGAAGTGGAGGAAAGATCTCAAAGTTGCGGGAGTAAGTCGGCTTGGCGTTCTTTTCTCCTAATCTTTATCAAACACTCACATAACCTCCGTTTAGCGACAATTCAGTCGCCTAGCGGAGATGCTGATCCTCTTACATCTAGATACGACGAATACACTTGCCGTTAAGGCTTTCCGGCTGCAAGTCAAGGAGCGATTATATCGTTTCAACTTTGTACGTTTTAGCTTGACGAAGATATGATAATTCACTGACGATCCTGCATTGGACAATGGCAGGAGGTCTTAGTCCAACTAGAAGACCAAGAAAAGCACGAGAAGCTGGAAGAAACCTATCAAAGCGTCATAGAAGACTACCGGCGGATTCTCGACATGGTGCGGTAGCGTCACAGGCATCGATATGTGTGCAGCTGTGTTGGACTATGGTATGGTCGTCCATGACAAGCAAATCGATACTTTGGCTCAAACTCGGCGAGCTTGCAACGTTTTTACTCTCTGGTGGCCATTGATGTCATTATCAGACGTTCATTATCTTTCGGGAAGTCTTCATACCAGTTTCACGGCGTATTTCCTGTTCCTTTTGTCACATCTTAGCCCATATGTATCGATTAACATTTGTCAGGCACACCACCTGAACGCTCACCGAGCCCGATCGCTTTGAATCTTTCGAGTCATAAGTCTTTGTGACTCGCCATATTGAGACAGCGACCATATATAACCCTGTGGCGCTTTGACTCAAATCAACATTCCTCCACACAACATTCCTCGACATAACGCCGGCTGCTCGGTGAGAATGGCCTCCGGATTGAGCATACTGCCTTTCACCATCATCAATGCCTTCACTGATACCGTTTCCGGCGGTAACCCGGCTCTCGTCGTGTTGGTCCCCTCTTTGACCGCCGTCGCAGATTCAGACTTCTTGGGCATCGCGCAAAGCTTGGGCCAACCTATAACAGCCTTCATCTCCCAAACCATTCCCTCCCCGGTCAGCTCTCCGGTGAACAGCGTACCAGCCACAGACGTCGGAGTACGTATGGGAGATGTTGTTGAGGAGGGAACGGAGGCCGAGTTTGGCATTCGATGGTTCACGGTCAATCGAGAGGTCCCCCTTTGTGGTCACGGAGCACTCGCTTCGGCGAAGGCTATCTTCATCCACTCGCCACCGCTCATATCATCGTCGGTGAATAGCATCAAGTTCACATCGCTTAACGGGGTGGTCGTCGTGGTAAAAAAGGCGGATGAGGAGATGCTAGAGATGACTTTGGATAATGCCGCTCCGCTGATAGCGTTGGAAGGAGAGGAGGAAAGGAATTTGAAAAAGACAGTGCAGGAGGCGGTTGGGGCCGATATCACGATCAAGTTCTTGGGGAAAAGCACGAAAAAGGGATTCAAGGCTTACAATCTAGTAGAACTTGACGTGGATGATTTGGCAGCCGTCGCAGTGGACGTAAAAGCTCTCGTGCGTACCGGCTCGCTCTGATTGATATTCTCCACTATAGCAACGCTAATATTTATTTCACTTAGCTGAACTCACCATTCGGCATAAACGTTTTCACCAGCGCGTCTTCCATCCCTGGCTCGCAGTTTTCGTCTCGCATGTTTGCGCCTTCATTCGGTGAGGCCCAGTATCCTCGTCATTTTCTGCACCTTGGAGAAATAGACTGATGATATGCTTACCACGTAGGGGTAAACGAGGATCATGTCTGCGGATCTGCACATTGTCTCCTCGCTCCGTACTGGGCTGCAAAGAAGCAGCTGCAGGGTACTTTCATGGCTAGGATGGCGAGTGCCCGTGGTGGGGATCTGAGAGTGACCGTGGCCGATAAACCGGAGTCAGAGACTATCAAACTCGCTGGCAAGCTGAAGGTCACGATGAAGGGGCAATTGTTTCTGTAAATAGTCATCAGTTGATAGCCACATCCCGACGAACCTCAAACTCTGCCCGCGAAGGCAACTGAAAACTCCTCCCTCATCGCCCTCCTTTCATCTACAAGTACACGAGTTGCACCATCAGAAGTAACCATGAATCTCTGGACTGACTCGAAAGATAGACACAGACCAATCCCTCGGTACAGCTGTGCTTACGGAGTCACAAAGTATCGGCTGTGTCCGAACCTACCCGGACCGTGTCCTGCTGGAACTTGTTTACTCCCACTTAGTCCGGTAGGCACCAAAGCCGAGTGGGAATTGACAACTTGTGCACTTCCTCGCTCTCTTTGACTCACTATGCTCGGTTTCATGACTAAAAAACCTACTTATGAGGATTCGGAGAACCGAATTCCTCAGGCGGTGACCGTAACGAGTGGATCCAACCCGAACACAACAACAGAAGTGCATTCCGCGGATGGAGACTCACACACCTTCGGCTCTGAACCTCACGTTGACCCCGAGCTCAAACTACCCAAACTCTCCAGTCTATCTATCATAATTTCAGCAAATTTGTTCCTCCAGGTGAGGAGTTTGATTGCGTACACCGAATCGCGGGGCCCTACGCTGACAATTGTTTCCATCTAACACCTCAGATATCGTTCTTCATAATTGTGTCTTCCTCCAATGATTACGCAAAATATCTAGGGGGTGACTCGACATTTTCTGGTATCGTTATTGGTATTCCTACAGCGTTCTCAGGTCTCGCCCTGCTGCCGCTCATGCGTTACGACCATGGTAAGCGAGCGCGTATCATACACGATATTCTTCACGACATATTGAGATGCTTACTCCCCATAGGCGGATATAAACTTCCCCTTCACATCAGTTGTGCGGCCTCCATCGTCGGCCACGTCCTTTATGCATCGGCGTATGCCGCGAACTCGCTCTACATGATCCTCGTGGGTCGCATCGTCAGCGGGCTCGCTTTCTCCATGTGGATGTACTGCAAACGATACATTGGGGACGCTCGCATTGTCGGCGTCCGTCGGCGTACGACCCTTGCGGCTTGGCTCGTCTTTGGTCAAGGTTGCGGCATGGCCGCTGGACCGTTTTTTGGTGGCCTCCTATACAAGGTCGGCTTCAGCAACAGTATTTTCAACGGTTACACAAGGTATATCCTCCAATACAACCCCTATTCCTGTGATACTAAATGTGAGCTCGCAGTCCAGGATGGATCATGGCCGGGGTATGGGCCATATTCTGGGTTTTGGCCACCATCTACTACGAAGACCCTCCATCAGCGGCGCCTGAAGTCCTGGAACTCCCGGTAGTCGATGCACCTGTGGATATCACCTATACAACCGAGACTATCCCAGAATCACTCCACTCTCGCTCCCGTCCGTTCCTAAACAATTCAACCGCAGACATGCCTCTCACTACGCTGACTGAATCTCCTACGGCTTCTTCGCCCTCCTCCATACGCACTGCAACATCTGTTCCCAAGTATCGGATGTCGCTACCCGAGATCGGCGTGGCCTTTACTATCTGTTGGTGTTCAATGACTTGCTTCTTTATCCTCGGTGGCTGGGAATCCAATATTCCTGTCTTCGCCTCCAGTCCCGATGCCCCACAGTTCGGATGGTCCCCCTTCGCATCCGGCAACTTTATCGCCCTCGGTGGCATCGCCACCTTTCCCTTCCTCCTCGCCAATCTCTTCGTAGCGCCCCGTCTTCAGGACCGCGTCATCCTCGCAGGCGGATCGGGTATAGGATTCGTCGGTCTACTTTTGTTCGTCGCGCTCTTAGCGGCCTCAGAGGACCACGCAGACCACGCGTCCTCCATTCTCAACTACGGAAGTTACCTCGTCTGCTGGTGGGCGGTCGCCCTTGGCTTCAACATCGCCAGCACTATCACGATGAGCTTGCTCAGCAAGCAGCTCCCACCAGAGTGGAACGGCCGCACAAGTCTCGCCATCCAATATAGCAATTACACGGGCAGGGTTACTGGTGCTATCTGGGGTGGTAGTGGAGTAAAAGTTGGGATGTTGAATTATGTGGGCTTGGACATCGTGATTGCAGGGATCGCGGGGACGCTATTCATGGTCCTATGGAGGGATTTGAAGACGAAGAAGGGCTAAGAACAAGGATCTACTCGCATTGCGTTTGTTCTCCCTTCCGCAATGATCTTCGTCTCAATCACGACCCTCCGTACTCATGGAAGCAGTCGGACGACAATATGATTATACCTTTTTGTCAGCTCGACGGGCTCCTTCGTACTCTGGTGCTGATGCTCAACTGATGCCCACACCAAAAGCTGGCGCTATATCACGACCTTCAAGGAAAGTTCTGACGCTTGCTATCTTCCCTCTTGCAATTATCGGTCATACGTGAATGAAGAGATAATCAAAGTTCCGCATCATTCGTTTCCACCCGTCATACATCAAGTCCTCAGTCGATATCCCAACCCGCGAACCCCGCCAAAAATATGGGCGGCTTTTGAGAACACTCCACGTATAATCAATCAAACCTCGACGAACGTTTCTCTAATCTCAGTCTTTCTAGCGCGCAAAATAGTGTTAATATACATGAAACATCAGGTAAATCTTGGAAGCGTGGTCATAGACGCAGAAGATAACTAGAACTACTATAGTGTGGCGCCTCGAACCCCATCATGATTTACATAGGCGGGATGCCGAGAAAGATGGTTTGTGATTATATAGGAAAGTCAAAGCCACCCACGATCCGTGTACTTGAATGAATGCCAGAACCTAATTCGTGGATGGCCGGTGGCAGAGACTTTTTTTGTCGAGATAACATCCCGCCTTCGTTCAAGTTCTCTAACCAAGAAGCGTGGATCGCGGAAAAGCCTCGGAATGGCTTGAGGATTTCTTCATACCGGGTACAATACCTTTCTCGGTGTTATCAAAACGATACACGGCGAGTATACGTGGGCCTATCGTGAGCTTATGGGCGCCGCTGAGCTCCCTGGATGATACGGGACTTCCATGCTCAACTTGAGAGGTAGAGGAAATATATTTTCCAGCGTACTCGCCTGACTCCCAAGAGCACTTATCTCGGCGAATCCCCACCGCGATTCGGGAGACGCCAACGCCAATCATCCAGCAACATCTCTTCCATCTTCTCTCCTTCACTCGCCGAGTCGGAGGATCACACGAGCGAAATGCTCCGACGGCAACGAGCGACCTCATGCACGGAAACCACCAATGGTGCGTACTGCATGGACTAGTGAGTACACAACTAGACAAAAGCCTCCACTAGGACTCCAAGAGTTCGAGAGGGGAATACCACGACAAGCCACTTGGGGATCCTTTAGTTCTATCACGATGCGTCGCTGTGGTCATGTTATCCGGAGCATTGCTTCCCTCTCGCTCCAGAAGCCGTAAATCCCAAGCCAAAGACCCCATCAGAAAGCACATGCATCAAGGACCCACTGCGGCATACTGTAGTAGCCGATGAAAGAGCCACAGGAGAGCGCCACTGACATACGAGAGAGAACGTGAACGCGAAGTCTGTGTCGGCGCCACACCGGGGCAGAATACTGAATCCTGAACCGAAAGCATATACATATGCATGGAACGCACCTGCCGTCATGAGAAGTCCACAGGTCGTTCAGGACTTTGCAACGTTACAGTTGCGTCGGGGGCAGAAGACCCGAGAGACTCATATGAAAGAGACCGTAGTCCAGAGGAGAAAGAAGAGAGCAAGCGTATGGAAGGTCCAGGAAGGAGACGACGAATCGTGTCGTAAGGAAAACTCTTCTAACCTCCGAAGGTGGAAATAGTGGAACCTTGTGGGACCCTAAACTCCAGTCAGCAAAGGTACATGCCCATATGCATTGCATCGTTGAGGTGTTAGTACAGTAGAAGAAGCGAGACTGGTAGTACTTGACCCGAGCCTTCCATGTGGAGACCAGTGACCCACCAGTTGCCCACCAGCGATTTCCAATTCACGAACCGTAAGTATCGACTTCGCGCTTACAATTGCTCGCTTCGTGGCAGGGCCACTGCAAAAAGGATGACGTGGGTGGGACTCTGGGAGACACTGACGGGGAAAAGGCAAGGAAAGGCACTTAGAAAATCACGGAACAATTCGCGGCGTCGGGAGATGCCAGAGTGTGGCGCCATCAAGGAGAGGTGACACGGCCGTGTGCGAGAATGTCCTCGAGCTCAAGATTGCGTGGACACTGAAGGAGCGGAGGAAACTAGGAGAAATACGAGACGGCTCTTTTTCCTTACCGACGGTTCCGTTTTATATCGGACCACAACAATAAGTACTGCGCCTTGATATCACCCCGCAGGCTCAGAGAATGAGACTCCGAGCTTGAACGTTACCGAAACGCTCTCACACGGGTGAAGGTGCGAAGGTGCGAAGATGAGAAGGTGGGAAGGGACTCGCCCATAACGGCGTCGGAGGCGAATGCATCCATCCAGAAATCAAGGTTTGCGCGACGAATGGGAGGACGGTGGCAAACGTCCGTAATATCAATCCAGGTATGACACAGCGCATATCGAAAGGGATCAGGATTCAGATAAGGACACGCCAATGCCAAATGCCAAGAGCTCGAGTCGCCCGGTGTGACGCCCAACTGTAACAGTCAACAGTGGACTGAAGCAGGCCATAAGCACGAAAGGAGCAACCCAACGAGCGAGCCTACGCACGAGAAGTTTCGTTACACTGGAAGGTGGTATCCAGGGAAATACCAGTCTGAGTGCATGACTGGCATGGGGGCCAAAGCCAAAGCCTGAACCATCGACGGAAGAAGACGTCTCCTCCCAGCTCGACCAGCTCGAGCATTAATCGTTTCCCGTCGAACTGAGCGCACGTTCGCCGGTTAGTACTGTACTCACATACTGTACGAGCGGAAGCGTTGCAGTTATTTAAGGTTGTGGGACTCGTTGTTCGTTTTTGTACTCGCAGTGGTAATCGGACGGACGAGCGACGGAGACTGTGGAGGGAAGGAAGGGAAGCAAAGCGAAAGTCAGTCAGCGAACGAACGAAAAACATCATCAAGGAGTCTCCACGCACCATTACACATACTTCAAGTTATCAACCGGGACCAGTACTCCGTCTCACAAGCCCTTACCACACACTCGCCCACTCACCCAGAAAAACAAAAAACGACCCAAAGTCCATTAACAAAAAAGAAAAGAAAGAAGTCCATACGACATCTAAAGCCGAATCCAATTTGAATTTGAGGTTTGTATATTGTATAAGAATATGTGCAGTGCAGAAGCAGAAACATCAACATCGTGTCGATGGAGAAATAACGACCATCTCATATCATGCCGAGCTCGTATGTACTGAGAACTTGAAGAGGTGAGGCGAAGACCGGGAGTTGGAAGTTGAAAGTTGGAGTGGAAAGGGGAAGGAGAAGGGGAAAGTCTAAGAGTGATTGCGATAACTTGAGAGTGGACTGTGAGGAGAAGTGAAATGAGATAGGAGAATAGGAGATCAAGAGCCTGAGAGCAGAATAACTTGAAGCGGGGGTGAGAGGATGAGTGGAGAGCGGTGAGTGGATTGGGTGGGGAATGTGGAAGGAAGGAGAGGGAGAGGAAAAGAACCATCGATATCAACGTCGTTATCGTCCGAGTCATGAACATCACCAACCACCACCAACCACCACCACCACCCTCACCCCCTCGCCTTAGACCACACACCACACCAACCACCTTATACCACCTCCCTCCTTTATACCACACCACCTTATACCACACACCTTCCATCCTTATACCACACCAACCTTATACTGTACCACACATCCCACCAACTGACGCATCAATGCAGATGCAAACGCAACCGACGATGTAGAACGACTTCTGTACAACATCGACAACCAACCAAACAAACCAAACCAAAAAGAAGAAAATGTGCCTATAACTTGAACTTCACAAACCGACTAACTCACAGGAGCACAATTTCAAGGAACAAAAAGGGAAACGGAAACGGAAACGGACAGAGACAGACGAAGACGGAGATGGAGAACAGATATCGATATGGAATAGAGATAACGAAAACACGAAACACAGGGAGTCGGAAGAATAATGAACATTCTGTACATGTCGATGGGACGGAGAGGACATGGTGTGAGAAGTGAGAAGTGAGATTTGAGTTTGAAGCACGAGAGCGAGCGAGATAGAGGGGGAGGGAGAGCAAGGGACACGAATATAGGAAGAGAGGGACACGAACAGAGGAGAGGAGAGGGGAAAGGGAGAGAAAAGGGAAGAGAAGAGAGGAAGAGATGTATATGGTGTACGACAGAATGGATGTGTATGTAGTGCGATTGCTGAAAATCGAGAGATGATTGCCGTTCGTCCTGTACTTGAGATTTGAGAAATATATATACAATGAAAAACCCGGAATGGAAAAGAGAAAAAAACTGGTGGATGACGAGAACGTGGGGAGCGAGTGGGGATAGATGATGATGAAAGGAAAACAAGACGAGGTATATACAACGGGAAGAGACGCGCACAGGGAGCGGATCAAGCCACGCTAGCGGTATTGTCCCTGTGCCGACTAAGAATCTCAACCCCCGCACCCAACGCCGTCTTCCTATGCTTCTCCTACATTTCGCAAAAGAAATAGATCAGAGTCCAGTCCCAAGAGCCTAATCGAATAAGGATAATAACACTCACATGATGTTCCTCCTCCTTCTCATCCTCCTCGTCCCCATCCTCCTCATCACTCGCGCTCGCATTCGTACTCGTCTCACTCGTCGCCGTACTCGCACCAGAACTCGCACTCACATCCACCATATCACCCTCCGATGCCGTCTTCTCGTCCGACGTGTCGTCCGCGTCCGCGTCCGGTTCTGGCGAGATCCGCGGGACGCTGATAGCCTCGATCGTCGGCTCGCGGGAGAGCGTGGTGGGTGTTTTCAGGCCGATAGCGACGTCGGAGGAGAGTGATCGTGCGTGGTGATGCTTCGAGCCGGGTGCGGGGATGGTGACCGCGGTATGGACGTGCTCGGAGGGTTTGGCAGCATCGTCCACAGGTGGTAAGGGTGTGGGTGCATGCGGGATGGTCGGTGGTGATGATGGGGCGGCCTCAGCGAGTTCGGGTGAAGCGACTTCATCGACATCAGAGGGAACAGGAACAGGGGCCTCAGCGTCAGCTGTGACGGCAGCAGTAGTACCGTCTCCTGTAGACTCCGCCTCCGCCTGAGCAGCAGCAGCAGCCTTCTGCCTCTCCCGCTCCTCCTGCTCCTTCTTCTCCTTCTCTCGCGTCTCTCTCCTCTTCTTCAACCACGCCATTCCACTCCCATCGTCGTCATCCTGCGCCGGCTTACTCGGCGAATCACCCTCGCTCTTCCTCGAACCCTGTCTGCCCCTCTCCGTCGCATCATACCCGCCCACAACGATCTTATCTCCGCTCTGCAGCTTACTCCACTTTCCGCCAGCTCCCGAATTTCGCACACTTCCCGCGCCTCCGTAACCCCACTCGACGAACTCAGACTCGTCCCGGACGTTATCGAACACGTTCTTGCTCTTGTGCTGGTACGGGCCCGGTTTGAGATGGTTAGGGTGTCTGGGGGCGCCGTACACTCGTCCGTTAAGCATGCGCGTGGTCCGGCGTGGAGAGGACGGGGCGGAGTTGGGGCGTGCTTTGGGGGCGGATTTGGACGAGGCGGTGGATCCGCGACGGTGGGTGGAACCACCGAGATCGGAGGTCCAGCGGCTGAGGGAACTCCAATTGCTCGAAGTGGACGCGTTGGAGTGAGTGCTCTCCTTGGAGGAGGTACGGAAGAGGCCGAGGGAGGACAGGGAGCCGGGGTCATCGTGGTTTGATTTGGAGAGGAAGGGTCTGAAGAGCTTTTTTGCGAGGCTGGCCTGGTGGGCGGTGGCGGTGGAGGTGGTAGAAGCGACGGAGGTAAGAGAGGAAGCACCGTGGGAAGACTGGTAGGGGGAGGCACTTCGTTTTCGGATGGGGGAGGACGAGGTGGAAGGGAGTGAGGAGGCGGAGACGGGAGAGAAGGTGGGTGTCGTGGGAGAGGGCGAGGTGGTGATGATGGAGGGATGGCAGGAGCAGCGGGGGTCTGGTGCGCCGGTGCCAAGAAGAAGGGAGTCATTCGGCTGGGCGGCGCAGTCGGGTGAGTGGAGCAATGGCAGCGGTGCTTCCGCGTCGCTCTCGCGACGGGAGTGAGGGACAGACGGGGGCTGTTCGATGTCGTCGTCGTCATCCGAGTCGAGTGCGACGGGGAGCGGGAGCTCGTCGCCGTCGTCGGTTATGAGCACGGCACGGCGGGGATCAGGGAGGGGGGCGAAGCGGATGCGACGGCTGTTTGGTGGGGCTGAACCACTCCTGGCCTTGGAGAAGTCTGGAGCGGGGCTGGCATACTTGGTACTGACGCTGGCGGGGAGGGAGTTTGCGTGATGGGTGGTGCCGGTGATGGAGGGTGGTGGCGAGGAAGCGGCGGAGGCTGATGGAGTGGCGAGGATGTCGTCGATGGAGGAGGATACAGATAGTGGCGAGAGGGGCTGTGGATGGGGGTGGGCGGAGAAGGAGGAGGAGAGTGCGGAGGAAGGCGCCGAGGGAGAGGGGGACAGGGTGAGGGAAGGCAGGGGCGTATATGCGGTAGAGGGACTCGAGTTGAGGAGGATGCCGCCTCTGGGCTTGCGCTGGATGGTCCTGATGTTGTGGGACGGCGGATGGAGGACTTGAGCCATGGGGGGCAGAGCGGGAGAGAGAGAAGGGGGCGACGAGAGCGATGGACTGAGTGCGACCAAGGTATTATGAGCCTCGATCCACGTGGCCTCGACCCTCCTCTCGATCTCTCGTTTTCTCGCCCGCAGATCTCGTCTCCTCGCAACTCTCCGGTCTCCCTTAGACGCTCATCCCTTTCTCCATGCCGCAACCAACGTTCGTTCTAACCATCCATTTCCTCATTCCGCGGACAATAACTCCCTGCTCGTCGATGCACTAGAGCCTCAGTGGCGCGGTGCGTGCGTATCCTCCTCCAAAAATGCTTCCGTCCGGCCTTGCCCCGCATTCGCTCGAGAACGCCTCGATCGGATCTCTCCCCTCCTGGGGTCCTCCCTCGCCTGTCCCACTGCCACCGCAGGCCTTTATCACAGGCATGCGCCCGATCTCACCTCTCCGCCGCTCTGGCTCCCATCTCAAGATTCCTATCGTCATTCCCCAATCACCGACCGCTCTCACTCTCGTCCTCCCAAGAAATTCCACCGGCCTTGGCTTTCGTCCATCGTCAGAGTGCGCAAATGAATCGTTTCCGTTTCATCCAGTCACCAGTCAGCACGAATGATATCCGACCGTACGCCGTCTCCTTCGGCCCGTATACGTCTTTCTCTCGGCGACGACGCACAGCCCATCGCATATGTAAAGCTTGGTATGCACTTACAACTCCAACTCCAAGCCAGCCAACCAGCCACATCCCCGTCCACAGCCTCTCTCTCTATCCTCTCCAAACCCCCTGACCCATTTGACACCACCACCCCCCGAAAATAAAACAACAATCGTCTCCCTCAAGCGTATGGCGGATTTCCCGCAAGTCTAAGCAATCACACTCGCACGTCCGCCCCCTCTGCCCGTGCAATGAGTACTTACAAAACACCACCACTCGCTCTGTACTCTGTGCTTTGCGCCAGCTGCTCTTGGCTCGGATGAATCGATGACATATGACCTTCGCTTTGCGCCTTCCATCGTCCGTCTAAGTATCTACCGGGCACTCCCCAACGCCCGACCCTTCCATCGATTCTGGCATGCTGGTCTGCTGGTCATGCCCTCCGAGCCAAGTCCTCGCTTTACGTTGCCTCCATCCACCTCGCTTTACGTTCTCCTCCCCCCTCGCTCGCTCGCTCGCTAGTACGCTGTACATGTAAGTGCAATTCATGAATCGTACTCGCCACACACACTGCCCCGCTGTGACCTGTCAATCCTCTTGGCCACAAGGTCACACGTCCTCAAGAGTCAAAACCCTGAAGTTCTCATTGGGTCTGATGAGCCGCTCGAAGCTCGCCACCTGATTCCTATCAATTCTTTGACTTTGGATGACTCTTCAAAGCTTTCGATTTTGTCAATTATGCTCTTATGCACATGCTATCATGATCGGGGGTTATCCTTACCTCTCCCTCCCTCCCTGCGCTTCCGCTTCCTGCGTCCTTTCCATCAACTACACGAACCGCCATCCCCGACGGACGCTTGGACTTGGATTTTAATATCGCTCTCTCGTGCTCCTGATGTAGCGTTATTGAATGCATAATGAACTCTGAGCGCTCCTGCTTGGCGGCTACTATGGTACGACATCGAGAGCGGGACGTCGATTACCTCTCTACCTCTCCTGGAGTCCCTTCAAACCTCGCTCGTCTTTCGACGCTTGGTTGAGCCCCTTTTCGCTGTATTGTATAATGAGCGCTCCACTCTTGTTTCTTGGCGGCTATAGCTACTTATATGATAGTACGGGGCGGCGGTTACCTGTCTTTTTGGTTCTGGCGTCGCTTTGAGCCGGGTCGAGCCGTGTCTGTCTGTGTCTCGCCTGTCCGAGTATGGGGGTCTGTCTGAGTATGGATAGGGCTGACTTATGTCGAGAAATTTACGCCCTTTTCGCCTTTCCGGGCGCTTCCGCGAGGTCAATGCGCTTAACGATCGGCCGGCCGCGGCAGTGCACAGCCCCTGCCCTTTGCCGAGACCACGTGCGCTGAACGCCTTCGATCTGCACCGCCTCCGATCGCTGTGCTCCTTTCCACGCGATCGTTCCTTCTCCCTCCTCCCTCCTCTTCCGCATTCTCTCTTCCGTGTTACCAGCAGCCTCCCTCGCGCCCGATTGTCCGAGTCTTTGCTAGCCTATCTATGTATTTGGACTTGCGCGCCAACTCTTGTCTCTTTGTGTTGGCGCTTGTTTGTGATCGGCTCGGCTGATAATGAAATAATACATGGACCCATCGGGTCCTATTGATTGGCTTGCTCGCTCGTGTTCGCGTTTGCGTCCGATTCCACAATAAGCTCGGAATGGTCTCTTGCTTCGGATGGCTCTTCTTTCTC